TGTGCATGCGCAGGTCTTCTGACTGCCCGTGTGGCTGCTCAGACATCTAAGGAGGTCCTTCACGTGGCTGCCATGCAGCAGACCAGCTCGGACACCAACTGCGAATGTGAGAAACGGTTTACGTCTCAAGTCTCTTCATGTCAGCCCAGACTCAACTTCACATCCACCAAGAACCAGCAAGAGGATGCTGTGCATGCTCAGGTCTTCTGACTGCCCGTGTGGCTGCTCAGACATCTAAGGAGGTCCTTCACGTGGCTGCCATGCAGCAGACCAGCTCGGACACCAACTGCGAATGTGAGAAACGGTTTACGTCTCAAGTCTCTTCATGTCAGCCCGACTCAACTTCACATCCACCAAGAACCAGCAAGAGGATGCTGTGCATGCTCAGGTCTTCTGACTGACCGTGTGGCTGCTCAGACATCTAAGGAGGTCCTTCACGTGGCTGCCATGCAGCAGACCAGCTCGGACACCAACTGCGAATGTGAGAAACGGTTTACGTCTCAAGTCTCTTCATGTCAGCCCAGACTCAAAACAACATCCAACAAGAAAACTCACACGCCGACGGCCTGCCACATGTGCATGCACAGGATTGCGTTCATCTTCTGTGTTGCTTGTCTAGTCGTACATCCAAGGAGGTCCATGCTTGCCGCCGCCACATGGTAGTCCAGCTCGGAAGCAACTGTGAATGCCGGAAGGAGATCATGTCGTACAACTCACATCCAAACTACCACTACCACCACGTCCAGGACCACTGTCCCGGCCCCCACAGCGACTACATTATCGCCATATGACTGTTAGCTGAATCACGCTGATGATCTCTGTTGCGCGCCCAAGAGGCATCCATTGAGGCAAACTTTGCTCGGAGCTCAGCCTGGCCCGAGATGCCGATGGTATCCTACCCCCCCTCATAAGTGGAGCTGAGTTTGTATCCTACACTCCATAAGTCGAGCTGAGTCCCTTAGGGGCTTCGGCTGTTCGGGGGGGGGGGGGGGGGAGAGGGGAGTTTGAGGATTATAAGGCCACCCGGCTCTCACAACTCTCTCGCCTGCCGCTCAGCTTTGGACTGCGCACGCTGGCAGTACATCCTCGGTCACACGGGGCGGTCTCGAACACATAAGACGCTCGAACTCACAGCTCTTTCTGCAACAAAGTCCAAGATGGCTGGGACATGTTGGGACGTCGTGTTTTCCCCCGAATTTGCCAAAGCATATTCTGCTGGGTCCAGGTTTGCCATCATTGGCTGAGGTTTCAGCTTGTTCTCCGGATGGCCGTCTGGGCCAAGTCGCTCCTGCGGCGTGGCAACTGGCTGGCAAATCGTCGCAACTTTGTAAGAAACTATCGACTTCTGTTGCTGCCCTGTCTCACAGGGCTCACGGGTTTGGAGGGTTTTGGAATTCATGGACGATGGCTTCGCGGAAACGGCTTTACACAACTCAGTGGCGGCAAGGGTCGGGGGGGGTTTCGCACGTCTCGAGTCTCGGAAATTCCCCAAGATCTTCCCCCCACTTCCCGTCCTCACCCGTGTCGCTGGCCTTGGCCTCGTCGCTGCGCACATCCTGCGCATGGCTGATGGCCCATCTCTCCAAGCTTGTGCTCACTTCCGGCCCTCTTTCCAGTTTCCGAGAACCTACGAAGCCCAAACTCTCCCCAGCTTTGAAGGAAAAGCCTCTCGAACAAAACTCTGTTGGTGACTGGGCGGCCTTGAGGTGCATCTCAGTCACGGCATTCTTCGCGGACTGCAAAAGCTCAGGTTGACTCGGATCTGTTTGCTGCAACAAAGTAACAAAGCAGCGACTAATTTTCAGTCTTCAGTTGCCACAAGAGGATAAAAGCGTTTTGCATCTGCTGCACCGGCGGTGCCTCCGCATCCTCATAGGCCACAAAAGCGAAGGCACGCCCCTTGGCATCCTCATCATGACCGTCAAGATCACAAGAATGATGTTCAACAGTCTACCGTTGCTTTTGAGCTCTTTGTCACGTCGTCCTTGCGCAAGGCATGGGAAGCGACCGGGCCGAACTGGCCTTAGCAGAGTAGTGATGAGTAGCGTGTGTGTCTGCGCTTGCACTTCCACCTTCCAAAGACTGCAGGCAGGCTGCTAAAGGTACTCAGAAGCTTTTCATCGTCCCACTCGTTAGGGAAGTTCTTGACCTTGGCTTCAAAGTTCAAGTCTGCAAGAATCGGAGAACACTTCGGTCGGTTGTGCTTCAGAGATATGTTTGTGCTTTTCGGGGCCCATCTGCTCGGATCTCACCTTGGGTTGCGCTTGCTCATACGATGAGAGCCGGGCATAGATGTTTGTGTAGTTCTCCTTGTCCACGCCATCCTTCTCATCGCGCTTCTGGAAGTGGCACACCTGGTGCGCTCAATGCGTCCCAATACTGCACGAGCAGGGCCACAGTGCAGGAATGCAGATGAGGGCGAGTATTCGCTGGTTTAAGTTTCCACATTTCCAGTGCCCATTGCCCCAAGCTCGCCGCGAACAGACGAGTCGGACAACACGTCGAGTCTGAAAGGTGCAAATTCTTAGATACGAACGGACCGTCATGGACTCGGCAGCGAAGAGCTGGCCAGAACTTCAACTAGTGGACAGGCCCGTCTGCTGATGGTTTGCACTGTGGCGAAGAGACTTTCGAACTTCAGCCTAGGAACTTTCTCCTGCGGCATTGACTTCTCACTGCTTCTCTGATGATCTCTGGGTTCGTTTCACAGACAGACACGCACGCACGCTCGTACGCACGCACGCTCACTCACAACAAAAGTCAAAGCAGTTCCCGTGTAAGAGGCAAGACCAAGCGCAAAACACATTTGAGTCTTGCGGGGCCCTAACTCAAGTTGCCCTTCAAAACTCGCCAACCAGTTGGTAGCATGCCGGGCTCTGGCCTGAACCGTCTTGTCACCGATCATCATGCCATCCACCTTCTCGATGGCCTGCCCAAGAACATGATACCCTGCCCGGGCCATGACTCAGCAGCTACCATACCAGACAGCTCAGGCACAGCCACGTGGCGAGCCAGGCCTGCTTAGCAGCCTCCTCCGTCTCGTAATGGACGAAACCATAGCCTAGGCTCCCCAGTCTGCTGGATCCATCGCCCCCCAGCCCCCCCCCTCCCTCCCGCATAGGGCTTGCAGGCGAAGAGCCGTAGGAGTTTCCCGTCGGATCAGTTGCAACCTGGCAACGCAATGCGTCGACTCGAGACGCTAGACCCTTGGTATATAGAGTCATACATTGCAGCATGTTGATCTGGAATTTACGGGGGGACTTCTGCCCCTGCCGTCAACTGTACAACAGTAATTTTGCTGGTACGGAGCTCGCAAGCGTTCGCTTCCTTCAAGATGTCGTTTCTAACGCAAGCTCAACATGCACCAGTGCACAAACATGTTCAGAGTGACATACATGCTCAAAACCTACAGCTTAGGTATTCGTCTATGTGCGAGGACGCCCTGAATCAGGTTTTTGAGGTACCCTGCCTTGCAGGAGAGGATGTTTCCGAACAAGCTGAAGGTGTCGTAGAGAGCCTCCGCAGGACCAAGGTAGTCCGTCAGAGTTCAGATGCTACGACAGGCTTGTCTCATGCTGAAGCACCAGGCACCCTAAACAGGCCCGAACGTTAAGCCCCACTGCAAATGCATGGATGCGTAATGCTCGTTCTTCTTGCCTTGTTGTCGATGTTCTTATCCAAATTCTTCACGTAGATGTTGCCAGCGCCGCTCTTGCGGAGGCTGGGGTCTCGCTGACTCCACATGATACCTCAGGTTGTGCAGCAGGCGCCTCACAGGACAGAAAAGCCTAAGACAAGAAGACAAAGCGACTCGTGGTGCCGAGCTGCGGCAGGAACGGCCTTTGATGCTGGAGTAATTCAATGTGTCCAAAGCCCGCTCGGCATCAGACCTGCTGCTGACGAGCTTAGGTACTGCACACAGCTGCCGACTACCCATACTGGGGACGCTGCACGTTGTGGAAATTCACCTCGGGTGTTCGGTGCACCAAAACTATCATGCTCAGTTCTCCTCATCAACGCACGGATGCGAGTTTGCCCGAAACGGTGCAACGTGTTGTCTTCATGCTGGGACCGAGTGCTTGCGCTATCTTGCAGCCGGGGAGCATAACCATAACCTGCTTGTCACAAATGTTGCTTCATTCTCGTCGAGAGCTGTCACCCACTGCTTTCTCGAAACTTCAAGAACCGGGCGAGCCTAGCGACTTTCGGGACACGCTGTCCCGGCAGACGCGGATGGAGGCCACGGGGCCCACCGAGTTGAAAATCTCATAGAGCATAGCCTGCGGACTGCAGACACTCTGGGGACTGCGTGCTGTATTTGCAGGTTGTCAGCTTTCACAATTTCAGGACAAGCAGGCCTCCGTCACATCAGGGTGCAGATCGCCGACATACAGCGATGCGAACTGAGGTACACCACCTGAACTGAGCAGGTCTACACCAGCGGAGCGTCGAGAGCAACAGAACGGAGTTGGACAGAGACGACTTGGCTTGCACCAGTGCTCCCGTCGTGTGCAATTGAGTGAAGACAACTTCTTGCTGGTTCGAGCTCGAGTCGTTAGAAACATCCAAGAAAACCAAAGCAGGTGGCATGTGCCCGTCTGCCTCCTGGAGCAGCCATGGTCGCGCCAGGAAGAAGAAGATCCTCAAGGTGTATCAAAGGGGCATACTACAGGCTCAGCAAGACTGTCACATTGATGCTTGCAGGACTACACGCTCCCAATCTGCAAGCAAGGCGCCTTTTTTTGGGTTTTCCGTTTGCTATTTTTAGTTTAGCTTGAGCAAATTGGCTCTGGAAGGCATTCGACAAGGTATGCACATGCAATCGTACCCTCCCAGCACATGTAAACTTGTCAGGGGCGTTTACGAGCCCTCATGATCCCTCTGAAGTCAACGAAGCTACGGTACACAGACCCTGCGACGAGAGTGACTTCTGCATTCGAGCTGATGTTTCTAGCAATCGGAATGCAAACCAATGAGAGCAGCTCTCCAATCGGATTGTCCTGCCGAACCTTGGCAATCCCATAGTTCAACAAACCTTGGAAAACAGGCCAAAAACAACAGTTGCGGACAAATGTGGCGTCAATTCGCTGGGTTTGAAAAGTCTTGTTTCCCGCTGCATACTAGCCTGCGAACAGCTGCGAAAGACGCTTCTCCAGCATATACAAGCTGAGGCCAAGGCATTGACTTTGGAACTCATCACACCAAATCAGGCGGCATATCCTCAGAACAAGCGATCCAGCATGGTCGAGAGTTGCCGGTCGTACACAACCTTTCGCAAGACTTTCACAACAGCGATGCGCCAGCCAAGGGTCCCAAGCAAGAACTCGTAGCCTCGGAAGGCTTTGTGCAGTCATCTCAACCAATTCTTCCATCTCTCCGAGGACATTCTGAGCAAAGGGGTCACAAATCGGCCCTTCTCGGGTGCACACGGTCCAGCACCCCATTGCCATCGTCGTCGAGTAATCCGAAGAGGTCCGAGGCATCGAACCTTCAGAATTGGGGGCATTTTGTCTTGCCCAAAACTTGCTGAGGGGGGCCCTCGAACTGAGCACCCATCCCCGGCGGAAGGTTCAGCGCTGCGAACTGGCAACGTTTGCTGTCTGAGGGTCTTATTGTCTTTTTGTGACATTCTGTCCAACAGCAAGCTGCTGCCAAAGCATGTCGAGCGCGGCGATTTCTGATGCGTAAGGCTTCTTCTGAACCTGTCAGCACATACCCATGCAGGAGATGGACGACTGGCCGTGCACACATTGCTTGCTCTGCACTTGGGAAAAATGGTCTGCCTCCCGGAACTCCTCCAAGTTAATGGTACCACTCTCATCCTCAGATCTCCATGACTCTCCCAATCTGGGGAATGGAAGCACTCTGTCAGCGAAAGCTTGCCCATGGATTGGGAGTTGTTGGTTCTTTCTGCCTCTCTTACACAGCGTTGCCTCATCAGAAGCGTCGATGACATCCAGGAGCTGGGCAACCTCAATTGGCGCTCCACGAAGATTTTAGTCTTCGGAGGGTCACGGCCGGGAATCGGGCCATTCGCATCTTGCTTTCTCGCAGGACCTCTCTGAACCCACTGCACATAGCTGCGCGAAAGCAAACGTCTGAGTGAAGAGAGCTTGAGCGCCTCCTCTTGGATGGTGTTCATGTTCTGATGTGCTGCTGTCGTGCGTTCCACGATGACGCCAATGAGAGCCTTAGCTTCAGGCTCCAGGTGTCCGAAAAGGCCGCAGCAGGATGAGCTTGATGTTCGAAGCTTACCATACATGCCCTGCCCACTTGATGCGTTGCAGTATGTTGCAGTTCTCACCATGTGAGCTGAGCACAGCACATTCATGAGGCCAAAGCAGGTGACGCAAAGGAATACCATCAAAGGCAGCACCATCACCGGATTGAACTGGGGCACAGCAAGCTGCTGGCTCACTCGTGATCTGTGTCGCGATTAGGCACAAAAAGGCGGGGCGTGCCAGCATCTGCGGCCAAACCACAGTAGACCTGGGTGACATGCAACATGCACTTGCGATGGTCCCACAATTCGGAAGACTCTGCAGCGCACGCTTCTCTCTCCATCATGCTCCATCCCTTTCTGAATCCTAGAAACCCAGCTTGACCGCCCCCCCTACTCTGAAGCAGGAGGAACAGGTCCAAAGAGGCGCGCCATCCGTCGAGGATGCAGACGTTAAACAGCCTGCCACAGGGCGAGCGGTGATCCAGTCGGGATACTCAGGCATGTTCCAAGCGTCATGAAAAGTGGAGACAAGCGGCGTGAGCATTGTTCTTGGGAGAGATCCAAAGTACATTTCGTTGTTGATGATATCTGGCACGCTCAGAATAGACAAAAATCTGGTGTTGGCGGGCCGCACTTGTGCCCAAGCAAGCAAGCAAGCAAGCAAGCGCTCAAGATCTGGACGGCACTCTGCGTGCCCGACCATCATAGTAGCTGCTTGGCAACGTCCCGATGACGTTGCGGCAGAAGATGCCAAACGCATAAATGACGATCAGCATGAGGAAGCCTCAGCGGAATGGCTGCCACAGAAAGGTCACGAGGAGCACAAGACATAAGTTACGGACCGATCCAAACCTTGGCGCATGCAAGTTTTACACATCTTAAGCCTGGGCCAATGCTGTCATCTCCCCTCTGCAGCCTTCTGCGCGAACACTCTGGGTAGGTGGCCATGCACTGCAGTGAACAGAAGAGTCCCTCGATGATGGCCTACGAAGGTGGCAAGTGCGAGCAATGCTGAATCTGTGCCTCTTACTCAGAGACACCCAACGACGCACATCCAGCGACTCAAGTAAGCCCTATGCCACAAGCTCTCGTCGAAGGCGCAGGAGCTTTGCAATCCTGGTCATGCCGCTCCACGCAAGGATGTTTGAGTTCATAGTCCAAATAAATAGCACACAGCTTCGGAGCAGTCGAGGCGAAGGGCACATGACGAAGGCACATTTGACAGGAACAGGCTGCAACTTAGATCGGTCAAACGAATCTTCATGCGGAACACACAACGAGATGATTGAAATCGAAGTGTGGGAATCTTCCAAACGCGAGAACACACTTCAATCAAAAGATCACTGAACTGGAAACCCGCATCTTCTTAGCAAGCTGCTTCGAGCCTGTTAGCTCGGCAACTGCACCTGTTGCAATCGAAACTGCCTGACGCGTGATACATTTGCTAGCCACCCTGTCCTAGTACCCTCATCGCCACAGCTATCCCTCAAGTCGGCTGTCCTCATGATGCGAAGCAGCTGCATGACGCGAATGAGCTGCCTTCATCTTACAGGGGCGACTCAAAGGCATGCGGCATGCCCTTGAATCCACCTTCTCGCGACGCCATGCGCACCCACATTGTCAAACTGCACACGCAACATCCCCCGTAGGCTCGGGCGTGTCGGTCTCAGGAAAAAACCTGATTTGAGCAGAGCAGTGAAGTCAACGTACTAACCGCCCAAACCCAGTCAAATGATACCTGCCGGCATGGAGCGTTAGGACCCAACAGTCCACAATGGCAAGAAGAACTATCACCTGCCATCCAAGCTCAGCTGGAAGATGTCGCACTTTTGGCAAATGGCTCGCACAACACGTTACTAGTACAGCACCACTCTCTCGCACGGAGGAACTCTGATCACAATGCATTGAGACAACGCTGTCCCTCTCGGTATGGCTACCCATGGCAATACCACCCATCTGCCCTGTACTGCATTTTCGAGCTTAACAAAACACCCTTTCATCCTACCAGTCTGGCCCAGCACTGAGAGCCAAACAAGGTCGAGAAGATTCCAGAACTGAATGGAATGGCGTTCAATCTCGGCACAAAGTCTTGTTCACAGCAGTGGCCAGCACTACATGCTCTAACTCAGCATGTGCGTCAGCTTATGCGTCTCTGCCGGGTGCGGCACCGAATAGAAAAAACCCAGTCTGAGGAAGTAGAGCTTCAACACCTCACAAGGCATCGGAGTGTCTGGGTGCAAGTCCAAAGCTCTACTTGGGACTTGGGGCTCTCAAGTAAGGATCGATGTCGGGTCCCCCTATAGGGTTCTACCCTCGCTCCATCCTTGCAAGGCCGATTTTCCTGCTAGGCCAACCATCTCCACAGCCCAGCAGCGACAACGCCCAGGACACCGTGACTCACGCTGGACCGCCACTGACCCAAAGAATCCGGCCCGAATAGGAACTTGCTTGGTTGCTTGAACACTTGAAACCAGCAAAAGCGAGAAAGAGAGAGAGAGAGAGAGCGAGACAGAGAAAAGAAACAAAATGAGAGAGAGAGAATGGGGCTGCTGCCAACTCCACAGTGAAGATCGCCGTGAATATGTTCTCGCATACCAGCCACAACCTGGGGCTAACAACTTTGAGGCATTGATCAAAAACAGGGGGGGTGATGTGAGGCAACGTGAGGGGTTGCAGGCTGGCAGGGCTAAGGGCCCCTTCTAAGGTGGTGGACCCCCGCCTGTGGGTTGTTTAAGGAACTAGCTTTGGGGCATTGGTTCAGGACTTTCACCTACGTACTTCCAAGAGCACCATGGCACGCATGCAACGCTCACAATCATTGGTACACAACGTTCTTGTAAACCGCCAGACCCTAGTGACTAGTGGGAGGGGTGGCATTGACAAGCAGCGTGTCACAACAAGGAGAACTACACGGACGGTACAGCCCGTGGAGAGCGCAAACTTGAACCGAATCTGAGGCAGTCGACACGTCCCACGAACCACCAGTGAAGTCAGCCTGCATACTCTCTGGAAGACGAAAACTTCGCGCCAACTTGAGGGGGGGGGGTCCGGAAAGGGGGGGGGTCTACAGCTGGATATCCTGGCCTGCAAACCCAGGGTGACCGAATTCAGCATGATCGTACCTGCACCAACCGCATACGCCATCTTGTAAGTTGTGCGGCTCGGCGTTTGTGTGTGCATTGTGTCGGAGCGGGTGATTCACTCTCGCTGAGGTGTTGGTTCATGGAAAGCCAGGGCACCATAGATGAAGTTCTGGAAGTACTTGCTTTCCACTGGACTGGAGGGTTGCGGAAGCACGTCCTCCTGGACAGTTTGCAAATTGATGGCCACATAGGGCAGAACTGAGCTTGACTATCGGTGTTTTCCCCAGTCGGTTGGCCTTCGTGCTGCGCCTGGCACAAATCTGTATGGCTTCGACTGCAGCACAACATACCAACAAACGAGCGAGCGGGCGGGCGGGCGAGCGAGCGGGAGGGGGAGGGAGGGAGGCAGAGAAGAAAAAGAGAAAGAGACAGAGACAGAGAAAGAGAAAGAGAGAGAGTGAGAGTGAGAGAGTGAGAATGAGAGGGTGAGAGTGAGAGAGAGAGAGAGAGGGAGACGCAGAGCGGGAGAGAGAGAGGGAGGGAAGGAGTAAGGGAGACAGAGGCTGCTGGGCTGATGCTGGTTGCGAGCTCCCAGCTTCGATGCTTTGAGCTGTTGCGGTCTCTGAACTCGTGGGCTGGGGACAAGTTGACATGCACAGGAAAGACACAAAGTCATGTCTAGAAGGGAACAACGTCACAATCAAGTGGCTGCTCCTGTTAGGCATAGTCTGTTTCTTCATGTTAGCGATGGTTTTGATGAACGAACCTGCAAACTGTCAAGAATTGTCATGCAGGTGCCATGACTATCAGATTCGCGGGGCGTGGCATTGTGTGCGCCGGGGATGAACTGTAACTGTAGACTTTTGTCCCTTTGTGATGGACGGTCAGCTGGACCTCCCTCAGAAGCCATCGCAGCTTTAGAGACACGCAGCCCGCGCTTGTAGCCATTCGGTATGTGCAGCAACAAGAGAGACATTGAGCGCTGGGAGATCGGGCCTACAAGATATCCGCACGTGTGGCTTAGCACATGTCTTCATCTCATGGCTCGGCGCCTCTTAAAGCAAAAGCAATGGTTTCTGGACGGCACCCATGCACACAGACGCGAAGCCACAGCAAAAAAAGCGAATGTTCACGAGGGAATCGCTCCCAAGGCCCAGAGAGTGGCCTGCCGACAATGTTGGCTACCATGTCCTCCACTGTCTTGGAGGCCTAGCTTTCCGCCGAGCTCATGACTTCTCTAGAGCAGCGACTCAGTATGAATCAGTGCTTTGCCTTGAGGATCTTGTTTGCTGAGCTCGTGGAGATTCGAGTCATCAGTGCCTTCATCCAGGTGCAGGCGACCAGCAATATCGAAGGTTACTTTGGAAGATTCAGAAAGCAGGGCCTGCGGAATCCGCTGTGTCTGCTGTGTTCGCCGATACTGTGAAGCCGCATGGAGCCCCGCAGCCTCAAAACGCGGTGCTCGGAAGGTTTTCTGCCACTGCTTCAGTTACCTTCAAGCCGAAAGGCATAGGGCGATCCGGAGGCTTCTTGTTTATCTTTGCCGATTCCTTGCATAAGTCGATGCCTGATGGCACCAGCATACCCCCGCTCAGGGCCACAGGCAAGCCCTTGAGGGTTTTGAGAGAGATTTTTCCGGATTTCTCCGGGTCTTCAGAGAGTCCCCGAGAAGTGAGGCTCCGGTGGTTTTCTGGCATAGGTGTTGTTTTGACTGTTCTGGCCCAGGACAGCTGGTCGGCAACCATTTCTGCCTGCATTGCACCCCACAGCAGCAGTTGGAATCTTGGAACGACGGCTGACTGGAGGACCACGAAACATCCGAAATCTAGGAGCTTGACGAAGGCTGGCCGGGCTCCCGACATGGCACCAACCTCAGCACAGGTTGAGCGCTTCTGCGAAAATCGACTTGGGGCAAATCTGACATGTGCCTGCGAAAAGAGAACGAAACAGGCGCCAACATGTTGAAGCCGAGAGTATCGTCCCACGTGTCGCTTGGAGCCGGGCCACGTCGCCGAAGGTGGAAGTTGTTGATGGATTTCTCAGCTATACACTTTGTGCGACTTCTCCGTTGCTAAAGTATGGAGCCTAAGCTTTGTCTTGCTTGTATGACTGCCGACAGTCTGGCAGCACCTCAAAACTTGTAGTATCTGCCCTGATAAACCTACACGGTGCCAAGGCTTGTTCATGTGAGCCTTTGACCATTCGTCCGAAGGCATCTGGCAAGCAAGCAGGGTGATGTGGTCTGCCTCTGCTTGGCAGGGTTGATCCTTTTGACCATCCGCAGTCAAAGCCCCTCCGAAATGATCGCGCGCGATCGCATACCACATCCATACCATGTTGCAGCAAGTCCATGGTATACTAAAAAACTCGAGGGAAAGCAAGAAGCATGGAATTCTCTTACTGGATGCATCAGTGTGCTGTCATCGCTTCAGCTTTCCCTGATTTTCCCTTCAGCACCGCGAGCAGGCAGCAGGCCTGTCTAAATGCCAGACCCTGGCTGACCTTGACATCTTGGACATCCTTGCGCGGTCGGTGCGAGCGCAAACTGCAATTCCACGTTCCGTGGCACACGAACATCTCGCGGATGGATTCGCACTTGGCTGGGCCGACGCTCAAACACGCTGCCGACCAGCTGCTCAAGACCACGTTGTGCCCGTGAACCTGACGTGCATGCATGACCAAGATTTCCTTCTCTCGCCTTTCTAGAGTCTTCTCGCATGACTTCGACCACATCACCGAACAACACCTGCTGCTCTGGGCAGGCAGCATGATGCTCCTTTCTGAATCAAGAAGCTGGGCTGCCAACCCATCTGGCACCTTCATGCTGGCACCATGCCGACCCAGCTGAAGCTTCTTGCCATTTCCTGCCTCCGACGGCCGCATCAGCCGCCCGCAGCGGATCAGCAGCGGTGCATCCTGGTCACATGTCGCTCAACACCCTGCCCCACACGGCTCAACAGAATCTCATGATTTGCGAAAGGGCACACCTACATCTTGCTTACTTGCAACCTCCTAAATTGAACAATGTTCACGATCCGTCTGCGCACAGTATCCCATGCTCAATCGTCATGTCAAAAAAGCGGAAAGCCATGCGAAGTCCGCAAGCCCTGGTCTCTGATCGCGCAAGCGGAGAAAGGCATCTTCACTGGTGCAAGTCTCTATTCTGCTGACTGCCCCTCCTAATTCAGCCCAATCTTGACATGAAGAAAGCAGAGGAAGCCGGGCGGCATAACACATCCTACAATCGGCTGCTTCGTGTTCCACGACACCACGCACTTCCGTACACACTTTGCCCGATACATGGCCGCAGTCTCCATTTGGCAACAGAAAAAGAGCCCGACTCCGAGGGCTCTGAGTGGTGCGCACACATATATAAAAAAAACACCACCCAAATTCGCCGCGGTATCTACGCGACGTCGGCCATCTTCGACCATGCATGCTCTCCGTAAACGCCGCATCTCACATCTCATGAGTCCTTGAGCTCAAGAGGTTGCAACCTCTTCGGCCGCAGCAACTGGGAATCCATGGCCTTGAAGGCTTGGAGCTCCTGGCAACTGACAAAAGAAGGACATCAAAATATTGAGAAGGATTTCGGCTTTCGGCCTTTTCGGTTGCTGAAACATGAAGATGTTAAGATTCAAAAAGTTCTGCGATCTCCGCGGGGTCCTCCTGGCTTCTTGCCAGGTGGTCGTTCAGCTCCTGGCAATTTCCACTTGGGTTGTTCTTGCGGGGTTGAGGAGGGTCCAAACCATTCATGCATCGACCTGTAAAGACTTGACTGCTTATCATTTACGCTGTCTACATCGCTCTTTTATAGCAATATGCAGTATGGAAGATGGCTGTGCTTTGCAACAACTTGCCCCGGCCTCTGCAGTAGTCAAGGCGAAGTCATCTGCCTCCAGGTTATCTGCACAGTCTCACCCGCCTTGAAACCCAAGGTACTAAAGTACAAGAACTACCAAAAGTGCCAAAAGTCTGGTGTATACATATATATATATATGCATATATACACAGGGAGGTCGCCCGTGGGGGCGCACATGTTGCCCGCCGCCTAAAAACACATCTTGAAAACACGCTTCGCAAGGCCGCGTGTTGACACCACGTTCATCGACGCCACGTCCGTCCGCGGCACCTGAAGCAACGTTCATGACGCCACGTCGGCGACGACTCATGGCGTCCCTGACACATGGGATACTGACGCCAAGTGCCGGCGCCAAGTCTGGTGACAACAGGTGCCCTCTCCCATGCCACATGCACGCCCAGTCCACATTTGACACCCGATAGCGCCAACGTTGGCGACGACACGTGTCTTCGCCGAACCTGTCTTGGGGAAGTGTCTTCGCGACGCCACGCGTCAAGAAAGGCTTCCCTCACCTACCCCCCCCCCCCCCCCGAGGTGCTTTCGTGCGTACACCATCCTCGTAACTGTCGTCACATCCAGAAGTGCCGACAGTTACGAGTAGGATGGGGCCCCTGGGCCTCGCCAGGCCTTTCCTTTGGGCCAGGTGCCGACAGATGATGGGGCCTCCCCACAGGGCGGGGAGGAGCGTGGGATGGGGAGGGAGGCTGGGGGGGGGGAGGGTGATGGGGGGCTGATGGGGGTGACGGGGTGATGTTTAGGGTTGCAGGACACAGGTGGGGTGTTAGGGGTTGCCAGCTTCGTCATCGTTGGCACTGTTGGAGCGCGAAAAAGATACGAGTCTCCAAGAGTGACGACAGTTACGAGGATGGTATATATTTTTTATATGTATATGTAGATTGCTGTCACGTCAACCGGCCGGCCTCTCCGGTGCTTGCATCACCCTGCAAGCGAGAAGTTTACGCAATGCTCCATATTCCCCACATTTCCCCACGTTCAACCAAACATTCCGTGCCACTTGACTGTGCTTCACACGTGCCAAGTGACTGTGGATGCTACGCTGTTTACGTGCGCAACGTTACGCAAACCAATAGGAATGTGACTAGGACAACACGAGAAGACCCCGGGCCAGAGACAAAAAAAGCTTGCACTTGCTGCATCCCTCCGCAAAGGACGCCCAAACTACTGCTGCAAGCTTCCGCAGCCGTCGCCTCGAGGCCGAGCACGGCGCGGAGCGCCCCACGGCGTTGCTCGGCAGTGGCTTGGCGAAACCTTACAGCTCGAGAAGCGATGCAGATGCAGGCAGCTAAGCAATGCCCCTGGGAAATATGCCTGATGCCAAGAATAATATGAAGTCCACAACAGTGTACTTGAATCCAAGCCGAGGACAACGAAAGCTAGCCTAGATTCACTCTACTGTGGATTAGAAGAGATGCATGAAGCAGTTCTTTTCACCCAGCTCCCCTCAAGTATAGCCCACATGTGTAATCAATAATGACCACCCCAAGAAAATGGACTGTTCACGGTAACTATCATTGTGCAACTCTGAAGGGGTTGACCGACTTTCTTTCTAGAGCAACAAAAGTAGAACCAAAGCCTAGCCACGCTAGCTATCGCGATAACTGGCCCTTTCCACTCCCCCAGACTCCCCCTTTTGCAAGAGGGCTCCAGCCATCAGAGTTGAGGCTTAATTGTGGGGTTTCGGGTTTGGAGCTCAGCCCCCCCCCCCCCCCCCCCCCCCCAAGAGTAACAACTTTTCTGCAGAATGCGTTGAAGGCGCGCAGTGGGCGACTCTGATGCGTTTCTCCGATGATTGGTTTCGGGCACAACTTGTAGCCGTCGCAGCCCCAAGTGCCAAAGTACTGCTATCTCTTATCTGCTGCTGGGCTCCCCCACATACCAGCTCCAAGGATCTTTTGTTCCATCTGCAGCTTGGCTGAGCACCGCTCTGCCATGTGCCTCTCAACCTGACGAGGCATCGTGATGGCTGATGCATCCTGCTACTGCTTCACGGCTCAATTGCTCTCGAGGTCCTACCGTTACGCTCACAGACCTGAATGAAGAGGAGCAGAAGCATGCTGTCTGAGGCATGGGCACGAGACTGCGAGAGCAATCGAACCTCTTGACTGCAAAGTGCCGGCACCGGACGGAAAGTGCCCTAGAAGTGCTCTCAGTCAGATCTCTGCGACAGCTGGGCTGGAAGCCACTCGCACTTCGCGCGTCTGACCAACACGATGGACCCGCGCAACTGCCTCTGCAAGAGACTGGTTTTCAAAAAATTCCAAAAACACTTGAATCTTACTCCAGTAGACTCCGAGCCTCTCAGGGATGGACACAATTACTGGTATCAGCGTATGCATGGTGGTACATCTTATGTCTCGCTCCTGTTTGTCATTCTGTGGGTTCCAGTCAAGGTCGAAGAGCACGACCGTGTCAGCCTGGATTGCATGCGTCAAGCACACGGCACACCGCCATACTACACCACATGGTGCCCAAATGCTTTCCACTCGGAGTGAGTCGCGGGCCGCTTGCAGGTTCAGCCCAAGGCCTCCGGCGCGCGATGACCTGGGAGGGCTTGGATCGGCGTTGTGGTGTTTGAGAGGCACAGGTTGGAAGGGAAAAGCAGCTATGGAGGTTGCTGCAATGATCGGGGCGTAACGGGGCGGTGCCTGCACAATTTCCGTGCTCCTGGTAAGACAGAGTTGACCCAAGTGTTTCCTGGCGAGGGTTACGTCCTTGTGTCTTGTTGTGTCTCCCTTTCTCAGTCTCTTGCTAGGCTCCCGGGCAGCAGGAACACGGGCACAGGCTCGAGCTCGAAGCGCTTCAGCCGAGCAAGCCTCTCGGCGTAGGACACCTCGTGTAACACGGGCACAGGCTACAAGCGCCAATGGACCAAGGCAACGCCTCACTATCAGCAGGCATGCGTGCAGAGTCTTACTGCCTGCCCGTCAATGCGAACAAAGCCGATCTTCTTCCACTCCAGGTAGTCCTGCAAGCTTGCCCAGAACGAAACCCGGATACCAACTGACGTCAGAAACCGCTGAAACCGACGCAGATCCTTACCCTACGCTGCGGCCATGGGCAGCCCCGGGCAGCCTGAAGAACGTCCAAAGCGCTGGTGAATTGCGAGAAGATAAGCACCTGCAGCTTTTTATCTTGCCCCAGTGATCACATTGAACAACTGGCCAGGGTCCTTGTGATCAAAGCGCAGCAACTTTGGCAGCATGCGATCCAAGGCTTCCACCTGAGTGCAAAGGCAGTAACGGACTCGAAGCAAGTACGCATCAGCTTCAGACAGTGAGACCTTGCCGCGGATGTATGTTGAACCAGTGGACTACTAAGTCATCTCGAAGCTGCCATGACACAAAAAAAAATGGTGTGAAGACACCCTTGGATTGAACATGATTCAAATCTGGATCCGGTGTGTGTTGTGTGTTTGGGTTTGGAGACCGTACTGCAATGCTCTCCCCGTGACATGACAGTCGCAAGCAGCGACCAGCTGGGGCCATGGCCTTTCCAGACGTCCGAAACAAGTCCGCATCTTTTGCGTAGTTCTTTTGGAAAAGATACCTCTCTTCTACACTTAGTCGGGAATGACGTGAATGACTCAACATGACTCAAAGCACAACACAAAAACAGTGGATTCAGTGGATCGAGGGCCCGCGTGCTGTGAACCTCCAGAGGGCACGGATGCAAGACGATCTTTCGGAGCTGCATCAACACGTTGCTGACCTGCACAAGGGCAAGAGCCAGAGTCCGAGAGCTACAGGCTCTACTGAGATTTGGAGAGCTGTATACAGTCTCTACTGTTGAAAGCTGCTGCGCCTGCTCGTTTGTGACGTCCGCACCCTCCCCTAAGAGTTTGAGCGTCCTCTTCTCCAAGTCCTTGTACCTATCGAAAACCAGTCCGCATCGTGACCGCCTTGTGAGCATGGAGGTTGAAAGAGTGAAAGAGTCAGAAGCGCCATCTCAAGGGCACGCAGACTCCTGCCAGGCGCTGAGGGGTACCGTGACCGTCACCTGCACGCACTCTCAGCAAAACTTGCCGAGCATCATGAGCCGCGCTCTCCCACCCCGTACTCGGCAGCCATCGCGCAAGCCCCTCAATATCAGCAGCGTGCCCATGCATGCCCCAGTGTCTCGGCTTTAGCGTGCGGATCATCCGCGTGATGGCCTCTTTGCGTGGAGGAAGGCTTTGACCGAGAACCTGACATAGGGATGCTGACTCAAGCGAGCCCTGCACAAATCCCCCATCTGCCATCTGCCATGATTTGCCATAGAGGCCTCCGATTTGAGCCTCTGCAGTAGGAAAGGAGCCAGCAGCTCCTGCGTCCGGGCGCAGACCTGGCAAGGGAGGAGGGAGGCTGCACAAACACGCGGCATCCTGACTGCTAGTGTACCTCCTGCTCTTGCTCTGGGTTCAGCTGCCTGGACTCAGGACTTGGCAATTGGCAACTGGTGCATGCTTGCATTTGACTTGTTGGTGCTTCTTGGCTTCTTGGCTTCTTGGCCCCCATTCAACTGAGCTGCACATCGAACTCGTTGATGCCTGAGCCCTTGAATGGACTCGCAAACCAGGCCTGCCATTGCAGCTCTGAGCGCAACCACGTCGCGATGTTCTACCCTGCGTCCGACCTTGAAGTCCATCATGCTTGTGAACAGCTCCGGCAGCAAGTAGTGTAGCAGGGCCCAGAGTTCAGAGACACCTCAAATGCGACTGAACTGATTTGGAAGTCAAGAATCAAAAGCCGCCGTAGGTGAGCTTCCACCGTGCTCCCTCACTCTGTGCGCTGTGAAGCATCGATGTGCTGGCAGAATGTACACAAATCCACGAACCCTGTCATTTTCTCCTGCTTCGGCTGACTCGACATCGAGCAGCAGCTGCAAGACTGCCTGCAATCTGGTTCTCGCTTCTGCTGCGGCATCAAGCAGCTGCATGCAGCTCTTCATTGTGCAACCCGCAAGCCTCCGGAGACTTCTCGGCACTGTAACATGCCTCTCAGGATGATGAGTCAAGGGAATCATGGACGTTTGGTGAACTTCTGGTTCTAGATGCTTTCAAAAGGAACAGGGTTCGAAAAGGGATGGGTCGCCGGTTCTCCAACTGCCTACTCCATTGCAGCAGCTGCAGATTCCACACGTGAGCATTTCCGGCGAAAGCCAAAAGAAGCCTGGCCGCGCCTCCGTCAGAGTCGGGGGCAAGGGATGCTGCAAGCCGCCGCTGCCTTCAGACTTCAGATACTTCATGATACTTCAGCATCACAAGCTAGTGGCTCCATGGAGTCAGGAAGAACTTGGGTCACTTGGGTCCAGGCGCAGCAAGAATCGCAAGGAATTCGAGATCACATGCGGGTTCGATGCCACAGGCCTGAAGAGCTGTGGTCTGTGGCCCCCCAGTGGTCCCATCCCTGCAAGACGGTAACTTACGGCAACTCAAAACCAAGTTCAGCTGCAGCCCGAGAGTGAAGAAAGAAACAACCCTTGAAGTTCCATCCTACGCACTTTGGCCGAAACTGTTACCGGGCGCAATGCTGGAGCTCCTGCGGCCGATCATACGCACCGGTTGTGTGCAGCACCTGGAGCAGGTGTGCAGCGAGATGCAAACAAAAGCCGTGGAGTTTTTGGCTTTCCGATCCAGCTTGTGCGTGCTGTGTTTCACGTTGCTAGGAACATGTGAATGAACTGCAACTAGCTGACAAGCGCAATGTGTTGGCTGTTGGAGGGAACACACGATCTTGGAAAATCAAAGCACCCGCGTCTATCTACCACCATTCACTCGCCGTAGCCGTTTCGGAATAGGAAAGGATAGGCAGCTGACTTGGGATTTTGGATTTTGGTTTGATGCATGTGATCCCAATTCCGAGACGTGCCTTCTGGGCGAATTAATTTGGGCCATTAGGCTTTCCTTCGGTTGGTTCTGCGCACCCTGTCGAATGTGGTAACAACATCTGTTACGGACAAACTGGTGTGAAAGGCAGGAATCGCAAACTGGACGGCAACGATAGCATACTGCAACTATCTGCAACTGCAATGATGCTCTCAAGTTGCTGCGTCTTTCGAAGAGCACCGCAGCATGGCGAACGTGATGCTCAGGGCCCGTAAGGCCATCCCCCGCCTCCTCAACCAAGAAGCGCTGAAGGGCTTGACGACAGCCTCCCTGTAAAGACAGAAGCCGACTGTTTGCCATGAACGCGCTGCCTTGCAATTTCTTTCGGAGTGCCTTGCAGGGGTGTGCATCGCAGAAGCCGATGCCAAAGTCGTCCAGCTCGACGACAACACAGCGCGAGCCTCTGGCAAAACAAGGTTTCAACAATTGTTGCTTGTGCCAAGCCACTATGGAAACTGAACACCATCACAAAGCTGCCACACCAATCATACCCAGGCGGTTCCAAGTTTCATGCATACTACACAACCTTTGGCGCACTGCCTGCTGCCATAGCAGGCGTCGGCAAGCGGAGCAACGCATCCAATTCCGCATGAACTGGAAATGACCTGCGACGACACTGGCCCTTGTGGCCCTTCAGTACATCCCTGTCCCAATTGTCCCAGACCCAGAAGTGGGAAGCAACCCGATCTTGTGGCCAGTGCGTTTTGAACCAAGCCTGCCAGAGACAAGGCGAAGGTCTCGGTTGCATCCAACGCTCAGGACCTGTCCGACACACAGGACATGACACGGACAAAGCGGTGACAAAGCCATACGAAGCCCCCCCCCTTTCCACTCCAAGAACGGCATAGGACTTACGGAGGAATGCTAGACAAGTGGCACCTTCTGGCCCTTCATCAGCACGCAACCATGACGCCGCGCTCGGCTCGAACCCGCCTCAAAAGAAACGCGGGGCACCAGCCCGCTCCATGCGGCCCCAGGAGGTCCGGCAGGCTTTAAGAATTGAGGCCTGGCAAGCTGCCCTGGCAGCCAGCTGCACCTCGGTCAACAGCCACTACCCCTCGCCCATTTGCAGCCAACGCAGAAAAATGTCACTGTTTGCCGTGATTTGCCGTGTGTTGCGCTGTGTTGCGTTGCGTTGCCAGACTCAGGCAAGGTCTGACATCGCCTCTGGCAAGGACATCAGTTCCTGCCTGAGGGCTTCAAGAATGCTTCAGACCGTCTGGGCACGCCACTTCCCCCACTTCCCTTCCGATGAGAAACTCGGAAAACTAAGTTGTGCCTGCCTGCAACATCCCAAATGCTCCGCGCAGAAGTCCAGGAGACTTGGCCTCCAGGACTCTTACTGCATCTTCAAGCGCACCATCAAGGCTCAAGCATGCTCAAGCCAAAAATGCCCGAAGGGACACCGACTCCGCAGGCACAAGTGGGCAGCGTCGTTGTTTTAATGTTCCGTTGGGCACCGCACTGCAGCAACACTCCCAGGCAAAGCCCGCACTGCTGTGCAGCTCGAAGCAAAGCCTGTCGCGCGAAGTCTCGAAGCCAAGCCCATCATCAGCACATTGGAACACAGAGGCGCCATGCGCTGCTTATCTTAAGTGTCCACGTTGCTCGCCTTGGAGATCTCTTTGGCTGCGCATCGAAACTCCTCCCCCGCCAGGACGCAACCTGCAAGCCTGAGGGGGGGGAAAGCTCAAACTGGCGCGCAATTCAGTTCTACTCCTTGAGCTGCCAAGGCCGCGACAGCAATGCAAATGCCTTCGGCCCCACTGGCATGCCTTTGTGCTGAACCTGGCCAGGTCCACAATTGAGCTAAGCATAACATTCGCGAAATTCGTCGGTGGCACTCGATGCACATCACTTGGCTGACCTTGGCCAGTGCAGTGAGGCCCAACCTTAGCGTTTCCGCCACAGCTATACTGCAACGATGGCATGGCTGCAAATGTCAAGGATTCGCCACAAGCTCGGGGCTTTAGGCGATGGGGTTGTGCCGAGATCCCTTCTTGAGCAATCTCAGCGAGACAAACAAGACAAGCGCGCACACAAGTGCACGCACTCACAGAGACGATGAGCGTGCTCCATGTGGTGGGTCCAGTGCCGGAACTGCCTCAGCTATCGTCAGCCTGACAAGAAACTAAAGACGAGTCTCACGAGACGCATCAACCGCGAAGAGCAGCGCGAGTCAATGATTTGAACCTGGCCTTCCCTCACCACACGGTCGCAACAGCGCAGCCGCCTGCACGACAGGGCTTAGTAGCAGCAGCAGCAGCAGCAGCAGCAGCAGCGCAGGATCGGCTATATCGGCTGTTCACGGATGTGTGGGCGGCTTGACTTTGGCTTCGGTCATCTGCATCACATGAATTCCATGATTGGACTGCAAGCCACACCTCCTCTGCCAGGCTCTCCGGTGCCTCCAGTGCGGATGCTTCTGCTTTCGAGGCAAACCTCTTGCACGAACAGTCCAGCAAGGTTGCCTCCAATCGCATTGCTTTCTGCAGACATTTTGCCAGCGCTGGCACGTCTGCCTAGCCAAGTCCGAACCATGCAGCGGCACGATTGGCTGCATGAAGCTGCATGAGGTAAGCACAGGCGTGATGCCTGGTCAATGCATTTCTGCTTCAGGCTCCCTGCAACGGCAGAAACCTCCATTGCACACGGCAGGTGCTCCGTAGATTCTGCAAGGATTGGGCAATATACTCCCCTGCCAGGTCAAGGCATGTCCGTCGCGATATGTCGCGCCTCTCGGAGCAAGTTCTGGATGCAGGCTCTGTCTGATGCCACCTGTGCTTTGACCGCATCTGACCAATCGGCTCAGAAACGTTCAACAACTCCAAAGCTTGTCGCTGAAAAGTGGCTAATACCGCCAAGATCCGAACTGAGCACGCGAAGAACAACAAGTCCAGCCTGATATTGTCAAAAGACACCATGAACTTCGTTAAGCTACACAAAGCCGGGTGAGCTAAACTTTCAACAGTTGCTCATCAAATTTCTGAACTCGGATCGATGTCGGCTCCCCCTGTTTTGCTAAGCTTCCTGGCCCTTGCGCCACGTCCGCTGAAGCAAGCTCCTCAGGCCATGCTCAGCGATTTTGCAAACGGCGGCTGACAAAACAAATCGGAAAGCTAGGAATTGGCAAGTGAAGAGAAGAGTGTGACATTCAACCTCACAGCAAGGAGGCCATGACCGAGTTTCATGATTGAAAAAACTCTTGACCATGAAGTGGCAGCCTCCTTCCAGCCAATGCGCTGCACGTGCGCAGTATACTGCTGTGCTTGTGTAGATCAGTGGACCGTCGCACCAATGAGCGTGGAGTCTGGGACAACTCTAGGTTGGGGAATCACGCGCATTTGCGCGTTCCCTGTTCGCTACTTGAGATGCCTGCGTGGCCAACACATCGCCGAGGTGATCCTACCGAACTCCTTGCATCAACACACAGGCGCGCAAATCTCGTCCTTGGATGCGTTGAGGCCCAGTCGGTTTCCAGACGACGCAGGGCCTCGCGGCCACGGCAGGCCGCCAGCAGCTCCCGCGCCTGCAGTCGAGATGTCGCTCTGGGAAACCTGGAGGATAGAACCTTGAAGATACCGAAACCCTGATGGTAGTTAATACACTACCCCAAGCGATCAAAACACGAAAAAGCGACAACATTCACGAGACATTGCACGATCAAGCACGGCATGCACAAAAGAAGTGCGGTAGGCCTCAGCTTCCAGAGGACCCTCCTGCCGATGCGAATCAGGCACACTTTGCTGAGCTCGTGTTCGATTGGTCAATAAGCAGTGCCGTCATGAGCGCAGTGCAAACCTGCGCAATCATCTGAGAATTACCACCATGTCCCTCCTTGTGCAGCAGCTTCGCTGCCTTCGGCGCTACCTGCTCGGCTCCATTCTTTTGCCACACCGACAACATGCCACTTCACCGGTAAACTTGGCGGGGCACCAACCACTGCGCCGGTGTCAAGCCATGGCTTGGGCTGCGCCCTGAAGTACACTAAGCACACATTTAAGCAGTGGGAGCGCACAAGTCAAGGAGTTCACAGATTCCATCGGCTAACAAACTTATCCAAGGTCGGGACCCGCCCTGCAGCGCAGCCTCGACGAGAACATCCTCGCAAGCATGCATGCATGTGCACACATCTGCACCGAGGTTTTGCGCACACCAAGACCCAAACCTCCCGTTCAAGACACGGGGTGAAGGGCTTCGCAGACGCATGCATGGTGGGAAGAAGGGCCCCACATGCCAACCTGGCTCAATAATTCAACAGTTTCGAAGGCAGTGAGGTGGCAAAGCGCTGCCTCCAGGTGGCTCTGCAAGCATGCAGCACGCAGGATCGTGCTGCCCACGTCAAGCTTCAATGCTCATTCTCGCACTGATTCACACACTTGCCATTCTGAATCTTGCTGACGACTAGTGACAAGCGAATAACTTGAGAGCGCTTATCATGTTCAGTGGTGGCTGAGAGCCCAGTGGCCACGCATGTGTGAAGCTACTCAGCTCCCGGGCATTTTAACATGCACATGGCGCTCTACTTTATGCAGCTTCATGACTCGCGGTGTCTGACCACAAGAGGAAACAACCTGCACCTGTGAGGAAAACAGTATCAGGCTGGCCCTTTGGCCAGCGATGCTTGGATATGCATGGAGGTGTCAGGATGCTGTGGCACCAAATTAAAACTGCCGAGTCCAGTCTGGCCACCAAAGGGCAGCCGTGAAATCGAAATATGGCGTCTGCGGAAGCATGCGGAAGCGACAGCGCTGTCGGCTCATGTGAAACTCTCTCTGGTAGTTTTCCTACAAAACCATTGGGACAAAGCCATCGGCGCAGATTCAATTCAATGCCCGACGCTTTCTCGTGCAGATTTCATGTTAGATGGCTGATAGCTTGTTCCTGAAGCTTGATCGGCGGTCGTCCGGTGCACTGGAGACGCCAGCTCAGATGTCGTAGGCTCTGCTTAACGGATTGCTGTAGTTGGCCTGCAAGTACGTCAGGAGACTATCTATCAGGAGTGCAGCTTATCCAAGGCTAACCATGGCGAACAACCTCGCACTAGCTCGCGCCTGCCAGGACAAGAAGAGAAACCACACCAGGCCCCAGCTGCCCTGCATAAGCGCGGCATGCAAACGCCGCCAGTCACCAACGCTACTGTCCTTAGAAGCATACACAACATGAGACAATGTCGCAAAAAAACACAGGCAAGCAGCGAGTACGGCATGTTCACGCAAAGATGCACAGGTGCTAACCAGAAGGAGGAAACGAATGTGAGTGTGAGTGGGCGCGCGGTTGCGCGGCGCTATAGCCACAGGCACAACGACAATGCAAGCCAAGCGTCGTTTTTGCCCAACCCGACGGGCTTGAGAGGCCAGGGAGGAACATTGAGGTCGGCGACACTCCGATGCCTTGGACCGAAACTCAAAAAGGGCAAAAAACCAGCACAACAATGGACTTGGCCGGCCTTTCCCAGTAGCAAGCGTTGCAATGTGCTTTGGCTGCTTAGAGGCAAGTCTCTCTCCAAATTCGAAGGCATGCCTCTCCATCGCTTGCAGGGCAGCCGGGGTCAGAAATCGCTCACCAGAGCCATCTGCACAGTTGGTCTCCAGAAAAGCCTTCTTCTTGTGTAGCAACTGCCACTCAAAGTCACTCAGCAGCATGCAACCAGCGGGCAAGCCCTGCCGAACGAGCTCGTCATTAACGGCAGCTGCAGCATCGTCATCTAGAGCAATGACGACATCATGCTCACGCAGGGCTTCCTGGCTTAAGGCTACCCACATACCAGCGCCCAGCTTTCGCAAGATCTGCTGAAGCTCCTCCTCGTCGATCCCCACATTCTCGGCGAACTCAGAGACGCTATCCTTGACGGCTCCAGCTTCTGAGAAGAGCTCCGAAATACCAGAGCCATCAGAGCCGTCAGGTTCGTCTCGTGTCGAGCACGCGTAGAACTCCAATACTCGTCCCATGCCGTTCCACTCGGCAGCGGCGTCTGCGAGGCGCTGAGCCAAGCGTGCACGCACATAGCACGGAGATCTGGCCGAGTCCACAAACAACACCGATACAAAGCATCGCGACCAGTCAAGGCCTGAGGACAGCGTGCTCAGCCGACCGGAATGCCAGTCATCCAGCGGACTTGGAGTACTTCGACTTGCCCGACGGCTTTTTCCAGCTGCTTTTGCCTTTCTCGGAGCTCGCCCTTTCCACGGCCAGCGGAAGATCCCCAGCACTGCGAGGGCCAGGGACCTGCGACATGCGGCGTGAAGCATGACCGTCGCAGCTGGAAAGAAGGGTTCCCTTCCGATGAGAAGCGAATGCGATTTAGGGATACGAGAAATATGGCAGAGGAGAGCTATGCAATTCGGAAGAAGAATGCAGCAAATCACACCTCAGCTTCGGCGCTTCGTCTCTCGGAGATGCATTCAGGGATGTCAGCCATCCCTTCCTGCGGAAAAAAGCAGCTGTAGTTGGTTGCGAGGCAATTTGTGAGGAGTCTAACGGGCTAACCTCCCTCCTTTCACTGTTCGGGCGCTTCCAAAAAACACCATGAAGGCTCTTGGAGCGGTCTCAATCAGCTCTCGAATCTTTGTTCTTCAACAGCTCCTTCTGGGCAAGCTGCGACGCCTTCTCTGCGAGCTTCGGCCAGGAGGAGCGTGACCCACTTGAAGCTTGCATGAAGACGTGGAAGTTGGGACCCATGCACACTCCCGTGCTGCCATGGCAGTCTGGTGTGCACAATGCTGGGCGCCGAAGGACGCTGCTTAAGGCTGACAAGTGGAGGGTTGAGGGCTGGCTTCATCTGGCTTCTGCCTTGTTTATGCCTTTTTGGCTTGTTGCTTGGCAGTGGCAGGGGCCAATGGCTTGAACTTCTCATCACTTAGTTCATCATCTTCCAGGATCAAAGCTGAAGCTTCAAGGGTGATCCATGCGATCAATGCGGTCAAGGCATTCACTTGGACCCGGGCTGTTCTGAAGCGGAGTGCCGGTCAACAGCAGTCTCATCCGACACCTGGAAGCCACAGAACGCCCCCCGACTTCCCTTGAGCCATCCCTGAAGTCTCGAAGAAATCGTGCTTGTTTCAGGCTCAAGGAAGTGCCATGAAGCGCCATGAAGTGCCTGAGCTGGGCCATGGTGGCATGGAGCAAGGTCTCGGGGTTCTTGAGCCGGTGCCCTCAGTACGAAGGAACGTGTGCGGAGAAGAAGCTGGCCTTTTCTCAGCCTTCGTCCACGATGACCAGCTGCCAGGGTGTCTTCAAAAGGAGCTCATTGCGGTGAACCTGCAAAAGGGCATCATATGCAAAAAAGAAGACCTTAAGGAGGTCCTTCTTGCACTTCCGACCTCACCGGCAGATGAAGCAAAGTGTCTAGTTCATGTCTGGGATCTCTCTTCGAACCGGGGCCTGCTCGTAGTTGGTGACACAAACCACGACCTGCAAGCCACTTGCCAGGCAACTCTCTGGCACAGAGCAGAAAGGTCGCGCTCATGTTCGACTCGCACTGCAAGGATGCGACGGCTATCTACGACTGCTACCCAGGCATTCAAGATCTGCTCACTTCTAACCCTCGCCGACCTCGCCGCCGCTCAGGCTCCGCTCAAAGGCAGACAGCTCCGCTTCTCGAGCCTCCTGCAATCATTGTGCCGGGCTTGAATCGTTCCCAGCGGTCTCCAGATCAGGTGGGAAGGAAACGTAGAGCAACCACGGGAGCCACACACGCATGCCACACCTGATCCCCGATGAGGACATGCACGGTAGCTGACGGCGCAAAGCGACTGAATTCGGCCTGTGCAGACAGACAGTGACTCGAATGCCTTGCCAAGCCAATGCCAATCCGATGCCAAGCCATTGCCAAAGCCATTGCCCAGCCAAGCCTGCCAGTTCCCGAGGCAGGATTTGGGGGCCACGATGAGGTGTGGCCCAGCATTGCTTTTGCGCTCCTGCCATTGATTGCAACTCCCTTCGCACACTTCTGACTTCAAAACGCAGGTTCATGGAGCTCCTTGAGATAGAGCAGCAGGGCAATGGACTGAATCGTCTTCCCAAGCCCCATCTCATCCTTAGGGCTCTCGACGGTCATGCTGGAGACTTTCTTGGGCACCCGGACAACCGGGAAGGTGGCCGCCAAAATGCCATGCAGATCGTTCACCTGGCAAAACACGACTCGGGGTGTTGCATCATGTTGCTCGGCATGACGTGGTGTGCTTCAGAAAGCTGAGGGCGCTGCATACAGGGAAGCCAGCCACTCCAAACCCTCAACCTGCGAATCGTGTCGAAGTCGAAAGGTACACATGCTACACCGTCAGCTTCAAGATGCTAGAAGATGCCAAAGGGTGCCAAAGTTCGACACACCGTATGGCCTGATGAGGCAGCAGCTCAGCGTGCAGAGCTTCTGGTGGGCAGACATCAAGCTCCTGCGCCGTCAACGCAGGCACCGACAGGCTCTGTTGACAGGACTCGAACTCTCGCATCGGGACCTGCTCTTTGTGAACCAGCCGGGTGTAGAGCTCGCGGCGATCAGCCGGGGGTGTGCGGCGGAACTCCTAACCCAGGCACGTGAGAAACGGTGAGGAAAAGCTTGAGATGTGTCGGATCCTTGGAAAGGGCCTGTGGGGCACTTGAGACCGAGGCCTTTGTTGGTACCCGGGGTGCAAAGCTGGCTCAGGATTTTGGTTCTGTGGATCTCAAACGGCGGTGCCGTCAGCAAAGGGGAAGGATGGAAAGTGCACATCATGGATCAACAGCCTGATTTTGACACCTTGATTTCTCCATTTTTTGCAGATTTCCGCCTCCAGGGCCTCAGGGCTGCGGCGCCGGAGTAGTTCCTCGGCATGCCCTTGGCCAACGCGCTCGTGCAGTCATGTGCCTATGTGCAGCCATGCTATGCTTCTCTCTATCCAGCCTTGGATTTCTGCCAGGACCTCCTCGAATCTGTGCTTCGCTATGTCCAGCAGCTTCGCCTGGATACCAGGAACCCGCAATTCCAACACCCGGCCTCACATAGGCGATCCGCACAAAGTACAGCACAGTACAATGCACATCTCCTCACACTCATATGGCATGCACGCAAGCATTGCCTCTTCGGCCTTCCTCTCCTTCGCTCGCTCCGCATAGGTCAGCTTCCGCCTCACCATCTTTCTTAAAAAAGGCAAACTGCATCATATGGATCCCGACAAGCTGGAAGTGGGCAGAATTTCCACATTCCAGCATCTGGCCTCTTTGCATTGAGGGCATTGAGGACCTCCCAGCAAGCACACGTCATTCTCAGAGGTCCGTTGCACAGCCTCGGGGGTTTGCGCCTGGCTGCCGGAAGCAGGATCTCCAGAAGCACCGCTGTTTTGCAGCCTTGGGCAGTTGAGGGTCAAGCCGATGCCCGCGACAACCCTCCCCAGCACATCGCCCCCACCCCTTACCCCACCGCGGTGGGCACATTCTGGACCTGTTGCAGGGGTGTCGGGCTGAAAGTCAAGTGCATGAACTACCACCACCACGACCACCGCCATCGATGCCAAGAATACTCAACGAAAAACACATGCGAACTTGGAAGGAAACCATTTTGGCAAACCACTGTAGAACCCTCCCGCCAGTGAAGAATGGAGAACGTTGATGGCAGCTACAGTACACTGATGATGATGGTGATGATGATGAGGAGGATGATGATGAGTATTTCGTCCCCGTTGCTACTGATTGCCCAGGCTACATGTGGACTTTTTCGTGTAGAACTTCGCGTAGAGCTGCAACGGGGTCATGCAGAGGTTCCAGGAACCGGTCTCGTCCCTTGAATCCTTTTGCATCCCGCTGTCATCCGACCTCCAGCCTCCGACATCTGTCTGCCAGCAAGCTTGAGGAAACGATTTTTTTACACACCGCGTAGGACAGCTGCGTGTTGTCAGTCGCTCCGAATCTCCGGAATCGCCGGTTTCTGGGGGGTGGGCAAACTGACATTTTGGCGTGGCCCTTTCTTCCATGAAAACACATTGTAGGTCCAAGCGTCGAGGTTCTTGACACTACGACATTCGATAGAATATGGGAGAGTTAAACGTCAATCAATAGTAATAGCTCACAGTTTTCCAGATTTCGGAATCCGACTCTTTCTTGTTTCTGGGCCAAAACATAACTCACTATGGACTGCCTGAGCCTCCAGCGTTCCCGCAGTTCGCTTTGAAGCAACCTGTAGACCCAGCAACTTGTGATTGTCACCAACTTCCCCTGCACAGAATTCGTCTGGTTGATTGTCCTTTACTTTTCTCTCGAGTCTCCGTGTCAGAGGACCACAACTGGCTGCACCTTCCTGCCTTCTGCACCTGCCAAATCTCGATTGCCTATGCCGAGCGGAAGGAGGCTGCATCTGTCATACACTTTCATGATCTTTCATGCACATGATGACAACAGAGAGGGTGGTACAATGTGGTACGATAGCTCCCTGCCTCAATGTAAGGTGGGCATAGTCCCTTCTTAGGCGGTCATCTGTTCTAGTCATCTCTTTTCGTTGGGGCATCCAGCGGCTTTGGGTCTTCAGGGTCGACTGGCAAATCTTGCTCCGAACCGATCCCTGCTTTGAAGACATGTAAAACCAGGCGTAATTCTCCGGCTTACAAGGATGATTCGCACAAGACGGCTTCTGCGCTTGAAACGCTGTTTGATTCACTGCCCTCGCGCCTTCTCCACGGCTTCGGGCGTCAGCCGCTGCCCTGACGGTGTGACACGGCGCTCATCAGCCCATGCCTCTAGAAGCAAGTGACGTGCAACATAAACACCAGCGCAGGACATCGCAAGAGTGCGTTTCAAGGTTGATGAACCCTATAGTTCAGCATCACTCTTGGAGATGTGAGTGCCGGGACACAGCCGTTCCAAGACCGTTTATTTCTTGAACGGGCTCTCAATAGCAAACCAATTTCGGACACTGACTGACGACTACCAAGGCTCGTGACCGCCTGCAGTGTGTCGCAGCTTCCTGCTTCACCCAAACGTTCAGCGACGATCTCCAAGGCCTGCAACACAACATCTGCCTTTTGCAACAGAAGCAACTCCACAAGTAAAGAAACGCAGCGACAGACAGAGTACTTCAAGGTTCTGAAGCCTTCGGCGGGGCATCGATTTATCATCTTGCGCGCTGACACTTGAGTGCACGAGCATTTCTGCTCCCGCCATCAGTTGGACCACGCATCTCCATCAGCTTCTGCGGATCCGCCGACCCCAGCGGTAGCAGGGCGGCGTCAGTGAAGACCCCCCGCCCTCACCGCCCTCACCCGCTCTCACAGCATGCTGCTCATGACACCTTGAATTGGAGTGTTTTTGCATTGTTTGGCTTCAGTGCATGCCCAAACCCCGCCACCCATCGCCCTCACCCATGACGCCTTGAATTGGACCTTTGACCCCCCCCACCCCATCCATTCAGGTGGTTTAAAGGGCCAGTGCATGCCCGACCACCCCCCCCCCACACGCCCCCACCCCCCCACCCGCCTCCCACCCCACCCCCCCACCCCCCCCAACCCCACCCTGTAAACCCTCCCCCTACTCCGCCCCTGACCCCCCCCGCCAACACCCCCCCCTCCATCACCCCCCACCCCCCTCACCCTCACCCCCCCCCCCCCACCACCCCCCCCCCACCCCCCCCACCCCCGCCCCACCCCCCCCCTACCCCCCCCCCACCCCCCCCACCCCCCCCCCCACCCCCCCCTCCCCCCCCCCAACCCCCCCTCCTCACCCCCCCACCCCCCACCACCCCACGCCCCCCCCACCCCCCCCCCCCCCCCCCACCCCCCCGCACCCCCCCGCCACCCCCCACCCTGTAGGCCTCGCCGCCCCTGACCAATCTCTAGTGTTTTAAGGATTCCAGTCCATGCCCGCCCTGACCGCCCTCACCGCTCTCACCGCTCTCATCTCCCCCTCCCTCCCCCAGTCCATCCCTCCCTGACCCAACCCTCCCCCACCCCCCCCCATCCCTTCCCTCCTAGGCCCCCTACCCCCTCCTCCGCCTCTGACAAATCTCTAGTTTGAGGGACGCCCGCCCTAACCGCCTCCCCGCTCTCATCACTCCCCTGCCTTCCGCCCCCAACTCCACCAACACCCTCTCACCAGAGCTGGTCAAATGAGTCAGGCCCCCCTTTCCGCCAGCCGCCCCCACCCTCTCCCACTCCCACTCCCTAACCCTCCCACCAACCCTCCCCAGCCCTCATCATTACCCCCTCCCACCATCGTGCACCATCCGACCGCCCCCCCGCTCTCACCGCTCTCATTCCTTCTTCATCTCTATGCCCCCCAGTCCACCCCTGCCTTCCGCCCCCAACTCCCTAATCCGACACCAACCCTCTACCGTCACCCCCCACACCCCCCACCCCCGCCGCCCCCCTTTCCACCGCCTGCCCGCGCTCCACCCTGCCTTCCGCCCCAATGCGACTGTCTTGGGTCTGGGGTCGGCGGCACTGGCGGTAGCCATTAAATATGAAAGATCACATCGACGATTTCGCAAGATGTGGGCATGCTGCAGCAGTTTTCCATTCACGTCCTGCGATGTCGCTTTGCGCCTTCCCTCGTAGAACACGGATGCACAAAAACGCAGCAGTTATTGCTGCGCTTGCGATACTGTGGGCTGGGTCATTTGGAAAATGCCTCCGCGCAGAACCCACTAACCCAACGAACATGCGTCATACGAATCGGCTTCAACAAATGCAGCAAAAACTGATACCGACACCTGACCATGCCGCTGGCGCCATGCTGTGACAGCCAAATCAGGTTCGGGCATCCCTCGCGTTAAGCACCACAGGAGCAAGTTACTCCAAGTGTTGAAGGTGGGTTCTTTGAGTTTTTTCTAGCTGCCGCGCACCTTGACGACATCTGCAATCCGAATCGTACGGATCCTGCACCCAATGCAATGTTGACGACTCACGTGGCAATTTCATCTACAACTACCTACAAGTCCCTAACAGAGAAGACAACTGCAGTCGGAAGGCTTAACACACAGATACCTTGGAAGATTCCTATCAACGCCGCCGGTTGATCCATGCTGAACAGACCTGACCTTCCAGCCGGAGCCATCAGCTATGCCGCTCTACCAACCATCGCACCACATACTTTCAATGTGTACTGGAGTGGGTCAGAAGAAGCCGCGCTGCTCGCAACACTGCCACACCACACTGGGCTCAAAGATGTGATGCTGGCTTGTAAGACAGTGCTGGGCTAAGGAGTTGCCATGTTGCCATCCGCATTGCGCCAATGCATGAAGATCTTAGGCTGCGGGGCATGTGAATCAGAGAAAGCCAGCCACGAACAGAAATATGTGATGGGAGGACTGCAGGATCATTTCGACTAACTCAGCCTGCGTCGAGCAATCTCCGCAATGTGCACAAACCTTTTGCTCTGGAGGGCAAGTGCACCGGACAATGCCGTCCTGCTGCACAAACCTTCTGGGCTCATGGCGCCTGCTGACTTCTCCAGGGCCTCATTGGGCCGCGAGGTCCTTCCTCAGGATGTTCGCAATCTGCTGGTGCCCTCCGACTTCCGCATAGAAGACGGCTGTCTTGCCTTTCTTGTCGCATGCATCCACCTTGGCCCCTGCCTTCAGCAAGTCCTCGACCACCGCCAGGTGGCCTTTCATGGCAGCCCTCATGAGGGCCGTGGCGCCTCCCTTGTCGCGGATCTCCACCTCAGCCCCGACCTTCAGCAAGGCCTCCACCACCGCCACATGACCTTCGAAGGCAGCCCGGATGAGCGCCGTGCGGCCATGCTCCTCGCGGGTCTCCACCTCGGCCCCGGCCTTCAGCAAGGCCTCCACCACCTCCAGGTGGCCGTTGTCGGCAGCGTTCATGAGGGCCGTGCGGCCATCCTTACTGCGTGTCTCCACCTCGGCCCGGACCTTCAGCAAGGCCTCGACCACCGCCTGGCGGCCGTTCTCGGCAGCCCAGGTGAGGGCCGTGCAGTCATGCTCATCGCGGGCCTCCAGCTGAGCCCCGGCCTTCAGCAAGGTCTCCACCACCTTCAAGTGGCCGCTGTCGGCAGCCCTTATGAGGGCCGTGAGGCCATCCTTGCTGCGGGCCTCCAGCTGGGCCCCGGCCTTCAGCAAGGCCTCCACCACCTCCAGGTGGCCGTTCAAGGCAGCGCAGATGAGGGCCGTGAAGCCGTTCTCGTTGGAGGCCTCCACTTCGGCCCCGGCCTGCACCAAGGCTTCCACCGCGCCCAAGAAGCCCTTCGTGGCAGCCAGCGTGAGGGCTGTGTTGCCCAGCCAGTCCGGAGCGCTGGGGTCCGCCTTCTCAAGAAGCAGCTGCGGCACAAGCCGCTGCCCCGTCGGACGGCGGGGCGCTGCGACACCCGCCAGCACCTTCCTCTGTCGGTCTAACAGCTCTCTCCGCAAAGCGAATGTACGCTCCATTACCCGGAACGCCTTGTCGAAATCCCGCCGCTTTCTCAGCGCCTTAACCAGCTCCTGGGCGAAGTTAAGATCCTGGCTGCCGAGCCCGGCCGCGGCCAGCGCCTCTCTTCGAGGGTTCATGGCCTCGGCGCGGGTGCGGGCGTGACGAAGGTATGTCTACGGCGGGGGAAGTGGCCGGGACTTTCCCCCCTTCCCGCAAGCACGGCCCACCTCGCGGAGCTCCTGGTCTTTCCGGTCCTGTGTCGCTTTGGCCTCCGCGGCAGGAAAACTCTCCGTAAAAAATGCACACAAACCGCATAGACTGTTAGATCAGTGCCCTTTCCAGAGAGCCTTGACCAACTTCTCCACGTGCTCCGCCAAGGCGTTGTCCAGGCTGCAGGCGCCCGAGCAGTCGAGGCACTGCCACCGCAGCCGCGACCGTATCGCGAAGGCTTGTGGGCTCCAGTGCTTCATGGACTTGGCCCAGGAGGGCAGGCGAGCGAAGAGCTGCTTCTGCAGTGCTGGGCTCGTCCGATCGCAGGTGCCCATCAAGTCCACCAGCACCACTCTTGGAGACCAGAAGCCCAGCCCCCAAGCTGCAAGCCCCACCGTGGGGATTTCATGGGCGGACAGCACGGACTGCGACAAGCTGCGCTCTCCTTCGAGCTCTTTGTTGACCAGCGAAATGACGGTGCCCTGTGCCTTCTCGCGCATCCCCAGGACGAAGCTCATGCTGGCCATAGCCCACATGTTGCTCGCAAGCTTGTTGGTCTGGGCATCCGCGTAGCAAGCATCGATGTCCTGGGCCTGGTTGATGACTTGGCCCAGGAAGCTGTCCGGGTGCACGGTTGCATGGTCGGTTTCCTTGGCAAACTCAAAGAGTTTGGCTTTCGTTGTGCGGTTATGGGGGTCGCCATCCCAGAAACCCGTCCACATCATGGCATGGTTTGGAGTCCGGGTGAGGTCGACCAGCCAGCTCCTCAGAAAGGAGAGCGCTTGATACCGGCGAAGCGTCTTCTTGTCGAGCACTTTAAGGGCCGCCACCTGATGCCGGGAGACGAGGAGGGTCTCGACCAGGGCCCGTCCCTCGGCGAAAATGTCGATGACGCTCTCGGCACAGGTTTTTGTCGGCAATGCTGGCTCGTGGTAATCGAGGAGCCAGTCCGCTGCTGGCCGCAAGCCTTCGCATCTCTGCGTGAGGTTGGTGATCACGTGCCCGAGCTGCTGATAGCAAGCATGCGCGCTTGTGCTCTGCCAGCTCTTTTTGATGCCGGCAGCCAACTCCCTGAGCTTGTGCTCCTGTTCCTGTGCCTCGGCATCACCGGCCTCTGCCTCGACGATCTCGTCTGCGTTGGCCTCTGTCAACACGGCAGTCAAGGCTTTCTGGAGCTCCTCGGCCGAGCTCGCGGGGTGCTCCTTCCACGGCGTCCAGGGGCTGCTCCATCTTGGCCTCACCGCGCACACAAGACGGGGCCAGGCTGCGAGGCATATGCCCAAATATCCCAAATCTACGAACCATCGCGCTACATACATTCACTATGTACTGGAGTGGGTAGAAGAAGCCGCGCTGCTCGCAACACTGCCTTACCACACTGGGCTCAAAGGTATGATGAGATGTTAACTTGCAACACGGTACTGCGCGAAGGAGTTGCCATTTTGCCATCCGCATTACGCCAATGCATGAAGATCTTTGGCTGCGGGGCATGTGAATCAGAGCACAAAGTTTCGGACCAAATGGCTCCCAGTGATGCTCCAGTTCATGTTCCGCAGCGCCCCCGTTACGAAGATGATCTACTCTTCGCCAAACTGAACACCCTACACACCACAGTGCTGTCACATGTACATGACTTGTACATGGCAAAGCCTTTTTGATGTCTTGCTCGGGGTGTGCAGCATCACAGCTGCGCCTGGATCTGGCTGCCACCGCCGCCATCCATGCGGCACGAGCTTGCACATCTACTGCCGCGGCCTTGATTGCACAGATTATGTACTTCGTTCACACTTGGCTAGATCACATCCTTCCCAACCCGCTACTGCACCTGGCCCCGCCACAACTTCAGCGCCACGGCGCCAGAAAGCGCTAAGCTAAGCAGACTCACCGAAGTTGCATCGACCCTTGAAAGGAGCAATCGTGTCTGAGGATCTGTCAGCAGCTCTGCCTCTCAAAGAAGTGCCATGTCCTCAAGCTCGGCAGTCGACGCTCCACTCCTCCACACTGAGCTTTCATCGACACTGGTGCCAAATTCGTGAAGAGCATAGACACTGTTGGGAAGGCGGGGGAGCTTCTTAGCAAACCAGGAGCACTCAGATAATTAGGCTTGTTGAATAATCGTGACAAACAATAAATTCAGCGGCACAATATGGAAATGGCCGTTCGCTAAGAAAATTTCTAGGTCAGCTATATCTATTTGCAACCGCGACTGCATGCACGGCATTGCCTTGTCCATTTCCGGATGCCAATCCAGCGTGACGCTCAGACAAAGGTCTGGTGCAACATCACAGAGCCCGCAGGCCTCAGCAACAGCAAGAGGAGAAAAAATGCCCAAAAATCGGCTACGCGGTCAGGAATCAAAACAAGCCCAAGAAGTCTGAGGTGGAGGCGCTGGAGTGTCCTGGCCCATGCAGGTGCACACAGGTGCACACAACTTTCTCCGACTGTGTGCGCAACCCGAATATTATCTGCCGGCTCGTGCGATGGAATCTCTCAGAGCTGTCCTCAAACATGTCCAGCACCTGTGCCATGCCTGGACCATCTGGCATCACTCGCTCGTCATACACCACCACGACCACCTGGACGGGATACAGCACAAGCCGACGCCAGGCAGAACCTCCTGGAGCTAATAGATCCATGCAGTGCAGCATGCTCCAATCATTTTGGAAATAGTGCTACAGCTCCAACATCCACCAACTTGAAGCGTCTCCCAGCCTCATCCAGTGGCTGCAAAAAATGTGTGGCCCCATAGTCCGTATACTCCTTGGTGACAGCTTTACGTTGCCGAAGTTTGCGGTCTGAGCTCATGCTCTTGCTTCTCAGGCTCGCCAGCCCCAAGCGCAATCCATGCAGATGTTGGGAAATCGCTACTAGCGAGTTGCGGAAAAATCTCCTGAAGTCAGCATTGGCGTAATTGTGACTTGCTGAATGCCCGCAGGCCCTGCACGAAAGCACGATCCAACGAATAAACGAAAGGACATGAGGGCGAAAGGGGCGAAAGGACTGGACAAGCCTGAGACAATGATGATACGAGGACATTGCATCTGTGAACGTTCAGCCGAGCCGGGGCTGCATGTCAAGGTCAGTCCTCCCACTTGTCCGTGTCCTTCTGATCGTTGATCTGCTCAACGATCCAGTCGAGCAGGGGTTCATGGAAGAGCAAGTAGTTCCTGGCAAAAACTCATTAACAGAGTTTGCCTGTGCAAGAGGCTGAGAGCTCGTCCTGACCGGTGCCTTCACAGAGTACTGAAAAACCTCCCGAAACAAGTACAGAGGAAACAAGTACGGAGAGAGCATCCAAGGCTACTCAAAGTGGGCCTCCCCGTCACGCTTCATGTATGACCTGAGCAGAAATGATCTCTACAAACATGCTCGAGGGTTTCACATGAGCTAACCGAGCACTGTGGAGACTGAACACGACCGACTGTGCTTTGTACACCAGCGCAAGGAAGTCCACGAAGCTGCCCGAGGCAAAGCTGTCGATGGGAAAACTTCGGAGGCTGATGCCTGCCAGCCCAGCAATAAAAGTGTAAGGGGAGCCTCGAGGAACAGTCTTCGGGATGAGGCAGAGCTGAGTTGCTCGGACTGCCGAGGGCCGTGAGTTGTGAGTTGCAGGCCGTTAACAAAGCCAAAGCATCCTCAAAGTTAAGCGCTATTTGCACATCCGGAAAGAGAAGATACTGGCAGTACGCAAAGCCGATTCTTGCTCTGGCCTCTCAGGTCTACTGTCTGGGCTGGGGTTCCCAAAATGGCATCAAACGCTTAACGCATGAGCTGGGCAGATTCTGACTTTGGGAACGACTGCAAGTCAACTACGTGCGGGCGCATCCGCCGTGATACTTCCAGATTCCTTGAAGGAAACTAACCTCCCATTGCCTTAATGGCAAACTGCCCAGGCACCACGAAGGACAAAGGTCATTGCTTGCGAGCAGGCCTTTGCTGCCGAAGCCCCAGTTCTTCTTCATGCTCCTTGGATGCAGGTCAGGGAATCCAGGTGACGTCATCACATGTCACCAATCAAAATACCACTCACCCGAACACGCCAAGGAGCAGTTTCTCCGCACCCTCCAAACTGCGGATGGAACAGTCCTAAGGCTGCTTTGCCACAAGCTTTGCGCCTTGCCTTTGGTCACAGGCTGTCCCAACTTTTCATCACAGTCTGCCGAGGCAAAAGACGTTGAAGGCAGCGACTCGCCTGCCAACAAGCCCAAAACGCAGAGCATCAATGGCTCAGCTGGACATTTTCACATCATGACATTGTCGGCCTGGGGACTAAGTGATCAACTCGCTTGCGGTCCTGAAAAAGCAAAGGTGCCTGTGTTCGTGACCTTCCGGCTGATTAGAATCATGAGAAGATGCTGGGCAGGAAGCCCCCGCTGACAAGTCCTTCGTGTAAACGATGTCAACCAACAACGACAGCTCAGGTTCGACTTGAACCTCAGCAGACGCACGATGACAAGTGCCACTCTGCGAAGAAACACTGGGCATCAGCATCAGCGCACCTTGCAGGCACCGGGGAGCTTCGGGTAGTCAATGACTGCCTGGTCAATGTGTTTGTTCGCTCCTAGTGCTTAACATCATTCGACATCCATGTTCCACTGCTCATTATCGGTACCATCTCTGTTAACGGCTGAAAAGGAATTGCTGCTAGCAACGATTGAGCAACATACTCGGATCAAGTCGGATCCATTCCCGCGGATCGACGGACAACATTCTCAGGATCTGGCATAAGTCACCGGAAACTCCTGGAGCCGCTTCTTGTCGGCCTGCAAGCTCCGCCGCACGATTAACACATTCTGGCTACACCTGACCGCACGATTCAGAGCCTGGTGGTCGCTGACCTGATATGGATGCGGAGGCCTTAGAACTGCACGTGCCGTCTCTCCAGGGCTATTTGTGCATTCGTCCAAGCAGCATGTAGAAGCTGAATATCGCAGCTGGCTTGGTGGCGGAGTTGCTCTCCTGAGCACTTCGGCTGAGCAAGGAACTATGGGTGTCAACACGTAACATCGAGGGTCCTGGCCAGCCTCACCTGCTTGCGCCATGTGACCTGCCACATCCATACTATACGCAACCCGCTGCGACTGTAGAGCTGAGGTGTCAGCGCAAGACATCAAGAGTACTTCTCCCGTATGTCCTCACCTGCCACGTTGCCGGCAACGCCGAGGCCTCAGACAGCCGATAACCCCTGGAAAACCCCTAGATAACCCTGGAGAACCCCTCATAAATCACATAGAAAACGTATGAGCAAGATCGCCCGGTTTAGCCGAGCTGCCACAACACCGATGCCAGAGCTTCAGCCTTCCTGCTTGCCGCATCATCTGCACGGCCTATCGAGCACATCCACCATTCTGAGCCATTGTATAAAGTGGCCGCAACGGGGCTCAATTCTGCTGGAGATATGTGGTGATTTCGCCTTGAAGTTTTTGATGAAGTCGCCGAAATAGATGTGATCCATTGCCCAGGGGTCCTGTTCCGGTTGCGTCATAAGTGATGAACCGGTGGCACGGTCAGGCCAGCCAGCTAATTGAATCTGATCTCCAGCTGCTTCGCCAAGTGTTCTGCGTGCTCATCAGACTCGAATCTGTAGCACAAGGACCTTAAGCAACATGGGCGCAGAGCACGCACGGGCGAACCCACAACTTTATTGATTTCGCTGATCGGGAGAGCTAGCAGCTTGCACATCAATGACTTTCAATGAGATGTGGCGACATGTTGAATGCTGCAACGTGACATAGCCTGAAGAGTATGTTTGGAGTGGTGGAGGCATGTGATGCGCAGCCTCTAAGACGCAGGTCCACGAGCCTGAACACATCTTGCTGCCCACTCATCTCTACAGCTTCGTTGAGTGTGGTGGGACATGAGTGTCATGAGTGTTACATAGCTCTAAAGCGCGAGCATACTATGTCTGGCTGGGTAGACTCTGATGATTCTGCTGGCTGGATACCCTATTGCTGGCATCCATCACACGCCATAAAATCAGACACGCTCAGCCCGCAACTTGATATCTTTGCGTGAGACATATCCTTTCTTCTTCCTGGCAGAGATGTAGTTCAAAGAACTGCACTCGATCTTTCAAGTTCGCAGCCTATCGACTCGCGTCCAAATGGCCCATTCTCGCCTCAGTGTTCAGCGTCTCTGCTCTGATTTGAGTAGGATGACACAAAATGCCAGAGCACAATGGCTAAGCGCGGACCAGCAGCGGATGCGTAGCTTTGCCAGGCTGGCGTCTCCGACGCTTCTCCCGGTGAACCCAAAAGGCGGCCTAGGACTCTGAATCTGAGGTCCCAGCTCGAGGCACAAAAGACATTCAGGAATATGAAAATGCCCCGAGCAGCAGAGGCCGTCAGCATGCCAGAAACGAAGCCCACAGTGGCCGCTTTGGGCACCTCAGCTCTGTTGACTCCGCACTGTGCCACAGCACCCCCTCCTCTCCATCCTGACACGTCTTCCTCACCGGGTGAGCGATCAAAAAAGTAAAAGGTTCAATGAATAGCAGCAGCAGCAGCAGCAGCAGTAGCGGGCTCCGCAGCAGCAGCCGCAGCAGCAGGAGCCGCGGAACGAGTGGCAGGAGTGGCAGGAGTGGTAGGAGTAGTAGGAGTAGTAGGAGTAGTAGGAGTAGTAGGAGTAGTAGGAGTCGTCGTAGTAGTAGTAGTAGTAGTAGTAGCAGAAGTAGTAGCAGGAGTAGGAGTAGGAGTAGGAGTAGGAGTAGGAGTAGGAGTAGGAGTAGGAGTAGGAGTAGGAGTAGGAGTAGTAGTAGTAGTAGTAGTAGTAGTAAGTAGTAGGAGCAAGAGCAGGGGAGTAGGAGTACAAGTAGGAGGTGGTAGTAGTAGGAGGAGCAGCAGGAGCAGTCGTCGCGTTACCAGTAGTCACACTACGAATAGTGCTACTCGCCATGTTACAAGGAAATGTAACAATATACATCTTACGATATTCCTTCTTTTCCTAGTCTAGTTACCCTTTAATCCATAATTTCTCCAGTTGTTCACCTTTCGTTGCTTGTTTATTATCTCTCCCTTTTTGGGTGCTAAGGTGTCACAAAACAACCTCGATCAGCTTTCGTTACTTGCTTATTGCTGTATGCGATTCATGTTTCGCGCTTGTAGATTCATTATTGTCATTCTTATGTTTCTGTCTTTTGGAGTGTTGCTTCCATTCTTTGGTTCCGCCGTTTTGTACTTCCTGTTTTGCTTTCTGCCTATCTTGCTTGTTTTCTTTCTTTCTGTCTCTCCCTCTCTCTAGAAACTCAATTAGTTTCTGTTACCAGTAGCTGCTTGACTGATCTTGATGGCTATCTCACACAATCTTTCAACTCCTCCCATGCGGGAGGCCTCGGCATCACGGACTGGTGCGCAGTGGGATGGCGGAGTGGCCAGGTCGAGGCCGCCGACACTCAAAGGTTCGGCCTCGGATCGGGCAGCAACGTCTTGCATCCCAAGATCCTTTCAGACTCGCTGCGACCGATCTCGATAAGTCACTGGGTCACTTGACGTCACGCATGTCACTGATGACTCATGAGTCACTGGGGTGAGTCCGAGACACCCAGGCAACAGAGACCAAAGCGGCACTCAACGCCGTTGTCTTCACCAGCGGCATGGCTCGAGGCTAGTCGTGCAATGTCGTGCAGAAAGCTTCTTGCATGTCTTCTGCATTTCAGGCCCTTTATCGAAACGTCACTGCAATGCAGTTCTTTCGCCTTTGCGGATCTGTTGGGTTCTTCTTGTACGTGACAGGAAAGTGCAGGAAGTGCGAGTCTTCGGAGGTCTCCCGAATTGCTTGCGCTCAGGCTCAAGATTGAGGGGTTTGACTGGAGCCAATGTTTGACACCTGGAACATACCAGGCACACGAGGCGATGTAAGTGCAAAGCCAATCTGCACAGCAAACTTGACGAGAAGCAAAGAACTCCTGTCCATTGACGTACATGTGTCATGAACCTCATGAACCCTGAACAACGACGTTCTTCTACTCGTTTCGCTCTCTCCCCGCTCCCAGAAGCTCATGAAAGAAAGCGCTTGAAGAATGACTGCCAGGTACTGCCAGGGTCCTATGAAGGCTTCAAGGTGCCAAGGAATTTGCTCTGGCAAGGCCTTTGATTTGGGACGCTTTTGCATATTGTACTGATTTTTATACTGTAAAGTTTTTCAAAGTGAGCGCATGACGGGGTTGCCACTGCAGGTCTTTGAGTTGGGATTGCGAGCTCGCGTGCTTCAGCCTTGGGCCCTGCTTGCATCTTCGAACCCGGTATGCCCCTCCACTTTGAAGCCGTGCTCTGCAACAACTTGCCAAGCTCTTGCGAAGTCTTGCAGCGAGCAAACCAGGACTTTGTAGCCGCCGACTTTCATCGCAATCGTCCTCGGTTCCGATACCTCAGTATGCAATGCTCGTTTAGGCACTCATGTGGCTATGTGATGGCTATGTGCATCTGACCATGCTCATGTTACTCATGTTCATGATGGGCATCACGGCTTCTGTGGTGAAGAAGGGTTAAGTGGTACCAAGTGGTACCTACAGCCTCCGAGGCAGCAGCCAGGAAACCTGGGCACGCTTCTTCCGAGAGAACCAATCGTACCTGCGCCCAACACATCAGGATCAGGACATAAGATCACGAATCCGAAAGACACGCCACCGGATGCCCTAGAAACTGGGAAGGAGCTCACACCTCGCCAACAGGCAAAGTGCAGCTTCCGGAGATCCTGCAGGAAAAGGAGGGGCCTGCTCAGGACCAGTGCACTGGTGAACATTTCGTTTATGCGCAAGGCTTCATTGTCTTGATGATTGCTGGCCTGTGCAAGCTCTTCCCACGACGTGCCTGACACAGGGAGATGTGTCGGAGGCAAAACCACAACACAGTGCCCACTGCTGCAAAAACTGTCCAGCCTGGATCAAAGGCCAGCTGCTTGGCCAAATGCTCCAAACTCGATGCGTCAGACACATGGAGCTACTGCAAAAGACATCACAAGTCGTGCAAGTCTATCAACTCCGAAGACAGGCCGAGCTTGCTGCTGGCCGCGGAGATTGACGCGCTCGCCACGGCGCAGTCTGTAGCGAAGGCCACAAATTGAATCCGCTTTAGAAAACTTGCGACATGCCCACCGGAGAGATTCCGTGGATTGTCAGGCTCACCTGATGTGGGCTGCTTTTTCCCAGGCGATCGTTGATTGTACCGATTATTCCTATTGTCAAAGTCTTTTTTTATTCTGCACACACTCTCTCCTTCTCTTTTCTGTTTCTTAGAAGAGCAACCCATCTGTGCTGTGCGTGCCCATGTTTTTGGGAAACTGATGTCGTTTTAAACTGCACGAACATAAGAACTCCCGGAACCCTAAAACCTCCGGTCAAGCTGGGAACCGGCCCCTTGCAGCCCAAGGCGGTGCCAAGAAATCACTCTGACTTTTCTCTTTCGCTCGAATGCCTCAACCTCGTGCTGTGCGCACGCCCCAGTCTGTGGTTCTCTAGAGAAAAAACAAATAACAGAAACTTTCGCTTCCCGCAAACTGTCGTGTCAGTGCTCGTCGATGCTCGGACCTAATCCGACATGACACTGCAGAAGGCCTAATCCAACCCTGTGCCTGTCCACATTGTTGGCGGCCGAGCGGATGAAGTCGAAGACAAAAGGCTCATCCGGGGTCAGCCTGCAGCTGCAATGGAACTTGCAATCTGCTCCTACTGCTGAGCAATCAAGCAGACAGGCCACCCAAACTTGCCAGCCGGTTGAACTCCAAAGCTTTAAAAGTCTCGAATTTTGTGTTTGCGCGCCAAACTCAAACTCGAAAAGTCGAACATGTTCGAACATTCACCGAAGAAAAACGCGAAAAACTCTGGCAACACATTCCCCCTCTCCCTCCCCCTCTCCCTCCTCCTTCCCTCCCCCTCCTTCCCTCCCCCTCCTTCCCTCCCCCTCCTTCCCTCCCCCTCCTTCCCTCCCCCCCTCCCCACCGGCCCCCCCCCCCCTCTCCACCTGTTTGCTTTGTGTCACGCATGATTGACAGCCTGGCGGGTGGACGCGAAAACTCACAATGGCACGTACGGCAAAAATTGCGCGAAGCACTTTCGCAAAATTCGAAATTTTCTGAGCTTTCGAATTTGACTCTGGGGCGCGGACACAGCAATTCAAAATGGCTCGGACGCGAAAAACCGAAAAGTGTTCTATTTGCGCGGGGCTCTTTCAGAAAAATCAACACTTTTGAAGATTTCGAGCTTGAATCTGGCAGGTGGACGCGAAAACACGAGACTTTCGAATTTTCGAGTTGGGGTCTGGCGCACGGACGCAAAAGTGACTTTCGGATTGTCGCATCTTCGCAAAGAAGTCGAGTTGTTGCGATTTTGCATGTTCCGAATCTTTGCGAACTCACGAACAATTCCGAACTTAGGCGTAAGTGCTCAGGTTCCAAACTCTTGCAAAGTGCTTCCTATGCAGCCCTTTTGCAACCCTTGAAACCCCGATGTTTTGGTGGACCAACTTCCAGGGGCAGCCGTACAGTCGGAATCCTTCCCCAGAACATGGGAATTGTTGGCTGTGCCGGGGGGGGAGAGAGGAGTGTTCATCCCTGAGGCTTGGGGGGGAGGGCGGTTTGTAAGTTATCCGTATAAGGTTTTGGTTCGGAGCTGAATCCAGGAGCTAAAGTTCGAATTGTTTTCGCTGTTTTTTGAACTTTCGAAATTCCGACCTTTTTGCGAAAATGGACGGCCCATTGGCGTTCAAACCTTGCGAAAATGAACTTCCCGGCGGTTCTCACATTTCAGAATTGAAGCGCGAGCGCGAGTGCGAAAACGAATTTGGCGAAACTGGACTTTCAGTTTTTTGCGAAAATCGAGTTGGTGTCTTTGCAATTGGTGGCCGTGAATCTGGCTGACCAAAAGGATCCGTCGGGAAGGGAGGCAGGAAGGGGGGGAGGAGGAGGAAAGGACTCACGTGATGGCGTACTATAATTGAAACGTGGGGGCTTTGAATCTTAACACGAGAAGCGGAACAACGCACTTCGAAGCAAACCGCCTTCCAATGGTTCGAAGCAGCCCCAGGGTCTCGCACATCTCGAGCATGGACACCGCCGCAGCACCTGCACCCACGAGCAGCCTTCTCCGACACCCATGACACGCCCAGCATCCATCAGAGATGTGCGGTTGAAGAACCTGTCCACGGGCACCTCGTGCCATGCAGCGTGCCTCTGCCATGTCCTGGGCCTGCTGGGTCAGGCGGTTTTCGCCCAGCCCAAGGCCCAAGAGACCTCGACAACTTAAATAATATGTGCAGGTCGGCTGCAAAATATTGCGCAAAACACGAGAGCCTGGCCGTGGCGCAGCAGGACCAACCTTAGCAACCACTAAACCTTCACGCGCAAAGCCCTCAGCCCAGTCCCCCACGCTGTCGCGAGCCAAATGAGCCAAGGGGCTCAGGCAGCTCCGCATCCAGCCGGTCGAGGTCCAGCAGGCGCAGCACGCGCTGCCAGTGCGAGATGAAGTGACTCGATGACTCTCGCTCGTGCATTCTGAAGCGCGTGAGAGCGAAGAGCTGATGACAGAGCTTCTCATGCAGATGTGTTTTACAGGCGACAGACGTCAGGATGCGTCAGCTGCCGCGGCGTGGGATGCCAAGGCCAGGGCTCGGGACACACCCGACGGTAGCGCAGCCCCTCTGGCCTGCCACCACAACTTGTGCTACTGTACTCTACTGAGTACTCTACTGAGTACTCTACTGAGTACTCTTCTGTAAGAACTGCAAGCATACTGCAAGACGTGTACCACCAGTGTTCCACAGAGTCTCAAAATGTAGTTGATAAATCTGCGGTATATGCCTGCAGCAGGCCGAGCGCTCCCACGGCCCTGGCAATGCTTTTGGGTGCACCTGCAAAGATAGACGAGGACCCCATGATCTCTCCGGGACTCACACCAACAACACGAATGGCTTGGTGCCTGCAAAGGCCGTGTCTCGCTGCGCTCGCCAAAAAGACTCCTTTATGACTTATGACTCTATGACGCTGCACTCGAGTCGGTGTTCTTACATTACGGTGAATCCTACTTAAATCTTGTTAACAGATGCCTGCTCGCCGACTCAGCAGGGCCAAGCACTCATGGTGCACATCTAGAATCGTGCGGTCGCAGTGTTGCAGATCTCTTCAAAATGTTTAAGTCCTCTGCAAGCACGACAGACACGGCAGATGACATGTCCACGTTTAACCTCACGCGACAAGCATCCCCAAACTCAGACAGAAGACACCTCACGGAACTCAGGTTCGCAACGGCCAGCACAACGCCGCAGCCAACAGCGGCCTCACTCCGAATCACTTGCTGCATCTGGCTGCTCTCACCACTCACTCACTTTTCCTGAGAGTGCTGAGGGGCACGCTTGGAAAGACATTCGGCTTGCGATGTCTGCGAGGTTGGAGTAGGAGCCTGCCCGCAAGAAGACAACTATACATAGCTACACATAGCTACACATAGCTACACATAGCTACACATAGCCACACATAGCTACACATAGCTACACATCGCTCCATATATCTACACATAGCTACACATTTATAGCTACGCACAGCTGCACGCAGCTACACAAGCCACGTCTGAAAAACTCCGGAACTTCCCACGCCTCCAGTGCTCGGGGCAGCAACTTTTCGAGTGCTGCTCGAGTTTCTGCCAGATTTCCCTGGGTCAAGAGCAGCAGCGTGCAGGTGCTCAATCTGTACAGTGTGGAGACTCTTCCCACGGTCACAGCATTTGTGCCTGCACAATGCTTTGGGCAGAGGCAAAGAGGCCGATCGATAAGCAGCCAGAAGCTAATTCACCTGTGAGTCACACCAGGCCATACTTGTTTCAGTAGACCACTAAACATCGTCAACATCAGCACCATGGATGCAAGAGCGTCGTTACTCCGTGATAAACAAAGTCTGCATACTAGGAATGCTTGCAAGAACACATTGCAGTCCGCCACCTTGGCGCTTTGTGAACCTTGGCCTTTCTGTGAAGGCGAACCCCCGATCCGCCCATCCACCCTTCCCTGCCGCTGAAGCCTCCCGCACCAAGATTTCGGTCCCCTTCCATGGCCGTGGCGACATCATTCCACACACTTTATCCACGGATGAAGCAGCACAAGCGAACCACGACAGAAGCCGAGCTCTTGCAACTAAGATGCTTGCATCAGATGCTTCGATGCTGGCAACCTGAATGATCTTTGCAGGCAGCTGCAAGACGGCACTTGCAGCAATTGCATCCCGGCATATTCCTCCACTGCCAAGAACCGACACGCACGTCTGATTGTGGGTCTCCGTTTCACTTCACTTCACAGGACTCGGCTGCCAAACGTTGGGCAGCAACCGTCAGCAAAGGCCTTGGTGGTTTGATCTTCTCTCCCGTTCTCTTCTCAACTGACAACCCCTTCCACATTGATGCTGAGGAATGAAGCTCACGAAGTCACCCAACAATGCATCATCCGATCCATGAGCGTCATTCTCAGGGTAGGACGTCGCAGCTTCGGAATGCACAACCAGCAGGTGCTCGGACAGAGAAGCCTCACATGTGAAACCGAATTACACATGTCAGCATTGCTTCACAAAAGATCTTACTTCTAGAGAGGCACTTCCCAAATCAAACACTTCGATGATCCCCACCCTACAGCTCCATGATGTGGGAGCCATCCTGCCGTTTTCGGGCGGGAATTACGGAAACTTCGCCGCAGGCTTCTCTTGCGGGAATCTCTGCAGAGTTGTCTGAGAGTGGGCACTTCAAGGATACTCGGCGGCACTCTTGCGGACTTCGCTGCGCGTCTCTCTGCGGGCTTCTCTGCAGTGGCACTCCAGGAATACTCGGCGAGACGCTCTGCGGGCTTCTTTGGCGGGGTGGGCACTCCATGGAGGGATCAGGCCTGGGAGGCTGGGCGATGAGGCGAGGAGGCGAGGAGCCGTGGATTAAATCCGAAACAACCCCACACCGAGGGTGAGAAAAAGATGATCAGGAGGCGAGAAGAACCTGGACAATCCCGAAGGGTAAGGACCCAGCACCAGAACTAATCCTAGGGAGGGTTATAGTCATCATGACATGTCGTACGCCTAGCATTCTTACTTCTGGGTGACTTTTTTTGTGTGTGTGAGCGACAAAAGCATGTCAAAGCCAAGGCTGCCACAGTGATCCGCAGAAAATCAGAAGAGGACAACACCGCATGCGCTTCATGAAGCTCCTGCATGCGTCTGCCGGGGTCATCAAAGCGAACCCTGCTCCGAGAGCCACAGCTGCCTTGAGCAATCTTTGGAAGCGCAGCTTCGACGGGTCTGTCCTGGCAAGGTTTGAAGCTGAACAGGCAGCCAAGGCCTCAAACGCGTCGTTGGCGACGGTTGTTGTGTAAAAGGAGGGCTGCCAGAAGTTTAGGATAACTCTGGGAACCATAAGCCTGACAGTCGTAAACCCTCCAAGCCCTGAAAACCCTTTTCCCCCACTCAGAGAGGTTGTTAGATTTTTAGTCGGCCATTCTCCTCGGCTCCTCGGCAAGGAATGGCCAGTAAGTAAGCAGGCGGAGAGGCATGGGAAGTCTGCAACGTACGTGTTGGCCTTCCTGTTGAACTGTGAACCCTGTGGGAGAAGACGTGAAAAGCGAAAAGGGCACTGCGTGTTCAGCTGGCACCGACGTGAAAACATCATGATGTGGTCTTCAAAACAGAGATTCATTCAAGAACAGCGAAACATGTTCAGAAATCCTGTATCTGCACAGGCTTCCACCCAACCTTTATCGTCAAGCACAAAACTACCAACAAAAATTGATTCGCAAACGCTTGGTGCTGATGGAACCACGCAAGACAGAATCTGCAAAGCAGGGTAGGATGAAAGTTGGTTGGTGACCCTTATCGATTGCGACTTCCACCGCTTCTTGCAGCTACAGGTAGGCATGAGATTGAGAAAAAAACCACAAAAACGAGGAGTAAGATTTCCACAGGAAATCCAGATAGAAGTGTGGGAACAGCATTGGGACTGCGATACAAAGCAGCTGCCTCTCGGATGACATCTGCTCTAGTTGCAGGAGGAAGTGGTCCACCTGGTCGAGACGGGGCTTTGTGCAACAATGGATGCCGCACTCGTGGCAATCGAGTGTGCATGACTTCCATCAGTGGCGGCCACTGCTTTTACCCGCCTTGTCCCGCAGCGAAAGCGCCCTTCGTGGCGCACGTGTGGCGCGATAGAGCCCTTTGACACGGTCGGGCCTCGGCTGCCGCTCCAGCTCATAAGAGTACAGCATGCTAGAGCAAAACAGTGCTGCTAAGTTCTCGGGCACTCCAACAGTGATAGGCCTCTGATCAGAAATGATCAGAGTCAACAAAGGGAAACCAAGCAGATCCGCCATGCAATCCACTGCAAGCCTTGCCCCGAACCATGCGCTTGCGCGTGGTAAAGCATCGGCCTTTGCCAGAGGAGACCGCACTTCACATCACGGTCAAGAAGATTGAGGTAGTTGGTGGGGGCTGGGGGTGGTCCTGCTTGAGCAGGTTTGGGCATTCTGTACACTTTCTGTACTGAGGCTCAGCCTCCCTTCTCCCCGGAAGCACCAGCCCTACCAAACGGAAGGCATTCGATGGGGTTAGGGTTGGATTCAGCGAGTTTTGTGCAGGTTTGGGCCAGAGAGCCTTGTTCAATCGTCCCTCAGCCCCACACACACCTTGGGCCCTCCAATGCTCCGGTGTTTTGGGATTCAGAAAGAAAAGGAACGATATGCAAGCATGAGACGGAAATCGCTTTGAACATAGCAGCTGCAGCAGAAGCATGCACCTGCGATGCCTGACGCAAGGGTTGCCATCTCCAGCGGGGCCTCTGCATCAGGCATGCTGAAACTTTTCCTTTCCTATTGAGGACCTGCAAAGAAACAGAGTCCGGAGTCAGTAGTAAAGGCACGGGATGGCACGGGCACACAAAAACAGAACTCGTAGGTCACAAAGCAGCTCTCATTCTGACCTGAAAGACCGCCGCGAGGTCACTGCCATCAGATGATAGCAAGCTGAGGCAGGTATTGATGGTGCTGCTGTTCAAGGATGTGTTAGTTCCAGTAACATCATCTGAGTGCTCAAAAGCTTCGACCTCAAACTACAGCCGTGCGGAATCACTGTCGATTCTATGAGGCGAATCAGTATGCAAATGCCTGTTGCAAGCACGAAAAAAGAACTACGTTACAAGCCAATCTTGTGAGGAGTGACCGGTCGCAGCTGCTACGCCTATCATCCTGATCTCTTGGACGTCATGCATTGTCGCCAATGTGGCTTGGGACAGTAGCGGTTGCATAATTGTCGTGGATTGAGCTAGCTCCCCTGAAGGATCGAAGGACGCAACGGTCAAGCTGACAGGAAAGCAAGGCAACGCAAGCACAAAGCAAACGTAGAATTGCGGGCATGTCGAACCTTCGGCCTAGCTTACTTCAAGATCTTTAAGACAAGTGAGGTTGAGCAACTCCACATAAAGTCAAGTGGTTGAGGTTTCGAAAGTAGCGATTCTGGCTCAAGATACCGACCTATCTTT